TATCTTCTTTCACTGGCTCAGTGATGCGGCGCACTGGGGTGATGCACTCCCTTCGCCGCCATCTTCTCTCTCCTCCAATGCCACATTTTTTTAATCCATTCATCCATTGAAGGGCATCTGGGTTGGTTCCACAGTGTAGCTATTGTGAATTGTCCCAGCCCTTTTTTTTGTATTTTACTTAGAGACAGAGTCTCACTGAGTCGCAAGTGCCTCGTTAAGTTGCTGAGGACAACTTTGAACTCATGCTCCTACTACCTCAGCCTCCCTAGTTGCTGGAATTAGGGCATGTGCCACCATGCCCTGTTAAAACCTGCTTCTTGATAGACTAGAATTGGTGGCTTTACAACCAGGAGTTAATTCACTCTTGAAACCTCCACTCTGAGTCAGACTTGGCCGCATTGAGCAGTTCCAAAGTCAGAACTATGTGGAGTAAAGGGAAATAATAAATAAACAAGAGGCAGGAATATTCTTTAAAGAGCTTCAAAATAAGATAAATTCTTTGGACCTCTGGGGATTCTAATAAATGCTTTGAGGGAATGCTATGGGAGGGAACATGAGTATCTCATTTAGTCAATGCCCTAGTGAAGATTTATTAGGACATTTATTTCTTTCGTTTGCTTAGTTGTCTTACACAGTAAGTAGAATGATGTTTACTCTTTACTGTGGGACTTACTACACTCTTCCTTTTATTACCTTATCAGTTTTTCATTACAACTTGCAAAGTAAGTATTGATCTGACTTTACAGAGGAGAAAATAGTTTGAGATGAAGTCACTTGCCCAAGTTTGCATTAAGTCATAATAACAGGGTTGATAGCTAGGTTTCTCTCAGACTCTCAATCAGACCCTCAAGCTGTTATTTATTTACTGAGGAATTTTTTTTTTTTTTTTTTTTTTTTTTGGTGATGCTGAGGATCAAACCCCAGGGATTTGTGCCTGTCTTTACTATTGATGTGGTTGGTACCTTGGAGTCGATACTTAGCATGTCTATGATCTGATTTGATATGTTGAATTGTGTAAAACATGTTTATGTATCCCCATTTGCTAAGTAGGGAGTTGAGATTCAGGTAAGGTAAGGGCTTAGTGGGCTACACAGAACCAATCTTGAACTTCCCACGTCTGATCTGAAGTCTCTTATGTCATCCTCTTTATAGCACTTCTGTGGTGCTGTCATTCATGTGAATGTGGGGAATCCTCTATTTTCATAAGATTCCATTTATGCTATAGAAAGATATGTGTAGTCTTATAAGTAATTTTAGCAAAAAAGCAAATATAAAAACCACCGAGACAGATATTGCCATGTTTTAGAGAAAGGGTAGTATTCATTAGTGTCATTCTGATGGGAAAATCTGTTATGACAAGACAGCATCTGGAAAGTGCCTCATTTTGCTTTTTTCTGTTATCCTTTGAAAATAAAGAATATCTATAAATTTTAATTTTTAAATTCTCTTTAGATTTGGAATTCTGTGACTGGGGAACTAGTCCACACCTATGATGAGCACTCAGAGCAAGTCAATTGTTGCCATTTTACCAGGAAGAGTCATCTCTTAGCCACTGGGTCAAGTGATTTTTTCCTCAAAGTAAGTATGGCTATTGAGAATTAAGTAGATAAATTTTATAATACATTACAAAAGCTTTTATTTTCTCATGTATTGTATTATTGGGACTTTTATTACTACAGTGATTAAAAAAAGAAAGGTTGATGATGTAGCTCAGTGGTAGGGCACTTCCCAAGCATGTGTGAGGCCCCGGCTTAAATCACAAATACTGCAAAAAAAAAAAAAAAAGTAAAATATAGATATATATGTATATATATTTCATATAGTTGTAACTCACTATTACTCGGAAAACTTTCGCTATATGGGAATAAATTACTCTCTAAAATGAAAATAAATCTATTATAATATGACATATTTTTGGTGTTTATTTTTAATTTTTTGTAGGTTGAGGACATTTACCTCATTTAAATATAGATAGAAGTCTCTACCATATGTAAGGGGATTTTAATTAAGGAAAAGTTTAATTTAAGACATGACATGCCATACCTGCGTTACCATTCAAACTACCAGAAAGCATGTTCTGTGATTGCAAGCTGAGAAGGCATTAAAAATTTGTAATTATAACTAAGGCTGTCTCTATGTAACTTGCCTTACATGAAGAATTGGGTTTATCAGAACTAGGATTAAGGAGCAACGGAAGGAGGTGAACATGAGGAACAGGAATCTCACTTACTGATCATTTTCAAAGAATTTCTTTCAAGATTAACTTTTGGGATAAATCATTTCTTTCCTTGGGTTTAAATTAGTTGGTACAAATCACCAGAGGTACAAATCACCAGAGTTGAATGTAGCCTTTTTCATGTACATTTAAAAATATTTTTCAAACAAGGAGAAAATATAATAAGGAGTCTCTATGGTATCCATCATTTAGCTACAATTATAAACAAAATAAGGTTTTGCCAATCTTATTTTATATATGCCCTCTACCCTTCTTTTTGGCTAGAGCATTTTACAGCAAATCCTGGATATGTGATTTCCCCCAAAATATTTCAGCATGAGCCTTGGAGGTGTAAACACTAGTGCTATGCCATTATTAAACCTACTATAATAAACAGTAGTTTTGTAATGTACCTGATCTGTGTTTACTTTCCCCAGTAGTCTCAAACATGTCTTTCTGCCTGTGGCTTGTTGGAATCAGACATGGAACAAACTTGGCACTTGACATTTATTTTGTCTGTTAGGCTTCTTTTATTCTAAAAAACCTCCCTTTCCCCTTTTGCCCTTTCTTGTGCTATTGGTTTGATAGAGGAATTGAGTTATTTGTCTTGTGGAATATATCACATTCTGGATTTGGTTGATTGCTTACTGGAGTTGTTATTTGATTTCTTTTTCTAAACCCTCTATTTACTGTATTATACTTAATACAGGTGCTTTGAATTTTTTGAATAATTTTTTAGAATATTAATAACTTTTAGCCTATTGACTAGTTACAAGGTTTGGGAGATCTTAGAAATTATCGTTTTTTATAACCTAGTATTTAAAAAATATGGGGGCAGTTATCTTTATATATTGTATCTTTTTATAGCCCAAATAACTTTGATTCTAAACCATTCATTTTAAATAAGCAGTAATTGTTTAATTATTTAAAGCTCAGACTAAAAGCCCAGATCAGCTTTCCAGTTCCTTAGTAGATTTAGATGTCAGTCGAAAGGCTGCCTTGTTGTTTATCACAAGTTTAACTTTGACACCTTTGTGTTACTACGAATTGAGCATCATTCTTTAAACAAACATCCAAAGTAGAAGGATAGGAAGAAATTCATATGATTTCTGACTTTTTCCCCATTCAATAATAGTTTTTAAAATTTATCTTTTATCTTTCTCAAATAGCTTTGGGATTTGAATCAAAAAGAATGTCGAAATACCATGTTTGGCCATACAAATTCAGTCAATCACTGTAGATTTTCACCAGATGATGAGCTTTTGGCCAGTTGTTCAGCTGATGGAACATTAAAGGTAAGCTTTTGTACATTATTAAAATGGGTAGTCAGGTTTTCATCACTGTAATGGAATACCCACGAAAAACAACTTATAATGAGGAAAGGTTTATTTTGGATCACGGTTTCTGAGGTTTCAGTCTGTGGTTGCTTGTCTTTGTTTGGACCTGTAGTGAGGTAGTATATAATGGCAGGGAGCCTGTGGGGGAGCAAAGTGGAGGTTCTTAATGTCCCCTTTGGGTACACTCCCAATAACTTCTTTCTAATAGGCCCCACCTTTTACAGGTTCCATCACTTCTAACATCACCAGTGGCTGGGGACTAAGCCTTCAACTTATGAGCTTTTGGGGGACATTTAAGATTCAAACTATAGCTCTGTTTTTCATATTTCTACAGAAAGAGCTTCTTCCTTCAAGTTCCAGGAACATGTTTAATAAAACTAATTATTTGTCATAATAATTATTTATGAATGATTTCCTGTGTTTAAAATACATGTAATTGGAATTCTTAAATTTTAGGCATATATCCTTTTTGGGGGGGCAGGGACCAGAGATTGAACTCAGGGGCACTAAACCACTGAATCACACCCACAGCCCTATTTTGTATTTTATTTAGAGACAGGGTCTCACTGAGTTGCTTAGTGTCTCACTTTCACTGAGGCTAGCTTTGAACTCGTAGTCCTCCTGCCTCAGCCTCCTAAGCCACTGGGATTACAGGTGTGCGCCAGCAAGCCTGGCTAAGCATTATATCCCTAAAAAACATATTTATCCACTATTTTGAGATCTATAGGGTCAGGTTTATAAAGGGCTGCTTTTATTTGTCACTTATTTCTTCTACTTTTTGTGTTACCATTTTCCTGTTTTTGAGCAGACATATAGGGGAATAACACAAGAGTTAGGGAAAACATCTCATTTAAACTCCTGAATTTTATATTCCTAAAAACCCCAAGTTTTTCTTCTTTAAATCATTACCTTCTAAAATAAGACCCTAATTTCAATATTTTATTTCTGTCTCCATTGTCACTTTTGTCTCCTGATTATTGACTCTCCTTTCTCTGGTCTTAAATGAAGACCATTTTTGACCATTTTCATGTCTATTTTCCCTTCTATTCTGTATTATTGGCTCTGGTTCAGGCATTGTCCTCACCTGTCAGAGTTCGGTTTCTACAATTTGTTATTTACAAATACCGAGTATCTATTCCTTCTTTTGGGATAATCCGTGTTGTAGGAAGCTTTTCCATAATACCCTTGGATGGGTTAAGGCAGCCATCTTCCAAGATATTCTTTCCATCATATCGGTCTATTATTTCTTGATTTTTACTATGTGAGTGGCTTTAGAAGAAGGCATTTTATTTCTGAGTCCAAGTTTCTCTACCATCTTATCTCCATTGCTAATTCTAAGATTTTTTTTTAAAGAAAGAGAGAAAGAGAGAGAATTTTTAATATTTATTTTTTAGTTTTCAGCAGACACAACATCTTTGTTGGTATGTGGTGCTGAGGATTGAACCTGGGCTGCACGCATGGCAGGCGAGCTCGCTACTGCCTGAGCCACATCCCCAGCCCCGATTCTAAGATTTGTGATGATATCATGATCTAAGCTGTGCAGCTGCTTTAACTGTCTTTTTTTTTTTTTTGCCCCAAAGATTGAATCCAGGAGCAATTAACCACTGGACCATATCTCCAGCCCTTTTTATTTTTTTATTCTGAGGCAGGGCCTCTATGAAGTTGCTGGGACTGGCTTTGAATTTGCGGTTTTCCTTCTTTAGCCTCCCAAGCCACCATGCCTGGCTTTACTTCACTGTAGTGCCTATTCCAGTCCTTTCCTGCTGTTTGTAAGCCCCCAACCTTTTGATTCTATGGTAATTACCTTACCTCATTATAATTCAGAGGGTTAAAACTATCTACCCAGAGCTCTCCTCAGTGAGCCTCCTCAAACACTGCTGTAAAAGCTCCCTGCTCTCTCCTTTTTTTTTTTTTTTACAAGTCCTCTGCTTGCCCAAAAGTCTATTACTTATTACTGCTGTTTCTTTTTCTCCCTCCTTTATATGGTGCTTTGCTTCACTGTTATTTCCTCTCTCTGTTGCTTTTTTCGGTTTTATGCTTTTTGGGGATACTTTCCTTCCATCTATAAATGTTCTTGGCCCTTCCTGGCCCTATAAAACAAAAAATTGAAAAATCTTGGATGTATTTTTCTTTCAAATAGTCATTCTGTTTTTCTCTTTTTCTGTGACTAAACTTTGTTAGTTGGCTTTCTGTTACTGTAGCAAATAACTGAGATAAGTTATAAAGAGAAAAATGGTTTTTTGGGTTCATGGTTTCAGAGATTCCAGTCCCTGATAATTGGCCCTGTTGTTCTTTGGACCTGGGGGAGAGCAGCATAGCTTGACAGGGGGTACAGGGCAGAGCAGAACCGCTCACCCTGAGGCCTGGAACAAAACAGAGAGGAGCCATGATTCTTTTTGAGGGCTTGCTCCCAGTGACCTAAAGACCTTGCACTCCCACCTCCTGAAGGCTCCATGACCTCTCAGTTGTGCCACAGGCTGGGGACCAAGTCTTTAATGTGGCCCTTTGGGGGACGTTCCAGATCCGTCCATCCATCATCTGTGCTTTTCTCTGTTTCCTGACAACCTGCTCACTGCTCAAGCCTTTTTTAACCTGCTTCTCTCTGACCTATATGCTTTTGAAGAATGTCAAAATCAGTTTTAAGTTTCCATTTTTTGTTGTAAAGTCTGATACATTCTGGATTAGTGTGAAATTTTGCATTTTTATTTATCTGATCCTTATTCTTGTTGTATTTAAACCTCCATTGATAACCTAGTTAAGCATTCTTCATTTGAATATAAGTGTTTATTTTTTTTCTTCTTCTTAACCTCTCCTATAAGTCTTTTCTATGCCCATGCCCATGCCCATGCCTATGCCTATGATCATTTAATGATATTTACTGTGTATCAGGTACTATGCTAGTAGGCATTTGGATTTTAAATACTTAAAAAAAAAAAGCACATTCTCTGGCCTTAAGTTATTTAGGTTGGGGAGAAAGGTAAGTGATAGAGGAACATGAAATGCTAAAATTATATAGAGGGGCAGTTTTTTTTTGTTTTGTTTTGTTTTTAATGAGATAGCGCCTCACTATATTGACCGAGATGGTCTTGAATTCCTGGGCTCAAGTGATCCTCCTGTCTCAGCCTCCCAAGTAGCTGGGACTACAAAGCATGTACCACCTGCCCAGCTGTGTAGAGGATGTTCTAAGAACAGATGAGGACTGTGTTGGTAAAGGGTTCAGGTACCTAAGGCTACAGCCAGATTGAACTTGTTCTCCCTTTTTGTTACCTTTGCTTTCCCATTTTGTACTTTAATGTATGCTGACCCCTGAGCTGAAGCCCTAGAGTGTTCCTTCTGTCTTTTTGATGTTGAAATTCTTTTATAAGGTGGCATAAGGTAGGCCAATCTTCAGGTGATAGAGTGAGTTGGTCACCTGCATACTGTGTTCCCTAAACCCACGGCTTGAATGCTATGTTCCCACTGTGCTTTCTTTTCCTCTCAAATGATATATCTTGTGTATCCAGGGTTAGAGTTACTTATGTGCTCATCTTAGCCCTCTTGCTGACTTATAAACTCTTTGAGGGTAGTATCTATATCCAATTCATTTATATAATCTCAAATATAATTTCAAAGTGACCAGCATGATATTTTAATACATGCATTAAAAATGATAAGCCCTTGCTGTGTTCCTTCAGATCAAACTAAGACTTCTTCAAACTCATAAAGAAATTTTAAAGGAGCCTCAGTTTTTAGGGGCAGGTTTTGATTTCTGTGTTCATGTGTGAGTATCACTAGCAGTAGGGGACAGACATTGCTGCAGTCTTGGGGACACCTGCTTGTGTCTGTGGTGGCTTTCCTACGGTGCTGTTAAGCCAGTACTGCTGGCTGGTTCACACTGATACAGTGACATGTAGTAAGCAGAGGTTCTGCAAAATGATTTTAGATAACAGCATTTCAAGGTCAAAGTCTTCTAAAGCTTTTACCATTTGAGAGAATGAAACTGTAAATTATTTTCTGCCTCAAATGGCTCTGTAATTTTCTAAGCTTTTTGTAGTGTATCAAGTTGATAAGCATGTGTTTTTTGGACTCTGATGATAAACTATTTCAAAAGGGAGTTTTATTTAAAAATTGTCATTTAGAACATACAAGGGCACAGGGTAAACAGGAACCCTGGACAGAGTGCCATGGTGTCTTCAAAATGAAATGGTGATATTAGTTTATATGATCCCCTGACATGTAGGATTTCACCACATTGGATAGGAGCTGCAGTCAGGTCCTTCTAAAAGCAGCTGTAGTTTAAGCAGGAGTAAAGAAATTGGATTATGCTAGTTTTCCTTTTTTCTATATCAAAATTCTTTTTTAAAATTTTTATTTATTTTATGGTAGAATGCATTTTGACAGATTGAACACACATGGAGCACAACTTCTCATTCCACTGGCTGTACATGGTGCAGAGTCCTCCAGTAGTATAATCATTCATGTATATAGGGTAATAATATCTGTCTCATTCTACTGTCCTTCCCATCTGCACAATCCTACCCCTCCCCTCACTCCCCTCTACACAAAGCAAAGTTCCTTCATTCTTCTCTGTCCACCCGTCCCACTATGGATCAGCATCTGCTTATTAGAGAAAACATTTGGCTTTGGTTTTTTTGGGATTGGCTTATTTCACTTAGCATGATATTCTCTAGTTTCATCCATTTACCCTCAAATGCCATAATTTCATTCTTCTTTAAGGCTGAGTAAAATATTTCATGTGTTTATGTACCACATTTTCTTTATCCATTCATCTGTTGAATGGCATCTAGGTTAGTTCCATAGTTTAGCCACTGTGAATTGATGTGGTTGCATCACTGTAGTATGCTGATTTTAAATCCTTTGGGTATTGCTGATGAGTGGGATAGCTGGGTTAAATGGTGGGTCCATTCCAAGTTTTCTGAGATCCCCAAACTACTTTCCATAGTGGTTGCACCAATTTGCAGTCCTACCAGCAATGTATGAGTGTACCGTTCCCCCACATCCTTGCCAACACTTATTATTGCTTATATTCTTGATAATTGCCATTCTGACTGGAGTGAGATGAAATCTTAGAGTAGTTTTGATTTGCATTTCTGTAATTGCTAGAGATGATGAATATTTTTTCATATATTTGTTGATTGATTGCATATCTTCTTCTGAAAAGTGTCTGCTCATCTCCTTAGCCCATTTATTGATTGGGTTATTTGTTTTTTGGTGTTAAGTTTTTTGAGTTCTTTATATATCCTGGAGGTTAGTGCTCTGTCTGAGGTGTGTGTAGTAAAGATTTTCTCCCATTCTGTAGGCTCTCTCTTCACATTATTGTTTGTTTCCTTTGCTGAGAAGAAGCTTTTTAGTTGAATCCACCCCATTTATTGATTCTTCATTTTACTTATTGCACTTTAGGAGTCTTGTACAGGAAGTCAGGACCTAAGCCAACATGGTGAAGATTTGGGTCTACATTTTCTTCTTTTAGTCACAGGGTCTCTGTGTCTAAGTCTTTGATCCACTTTGAGTTGATTTTTGTGCATGGTGAGAGATAGAGATTTAATTTCATTTTGTTACATTTGGATTTCTAGTTTTCCTAGCACCATTTGTTGAAGAGGCTATCTTTTTTCCAATGTATATTTTTGGCGTCTTTGTATAGTGTAAGATAACCATATTTATGTGGGTTTGTCTCTGTGTCTTCTATTTTGTACCATTGGTTTACATGTCTGTTTTGGTACCAATACCATGCTGTTTTTGTTATTATTGCTCTGTAGTACAGTTTAAGGTCTGGTATTGTGATGCCCCCTGCTTTACCCTTCCTACTAAGGACTACCTTGGCTATTCTGGGTCTCTTATTTTTCCAAATGAATTTCATGATTGCTTTTTCTAGTTCTCTGAAGACTGTCATTGGAATTTTAATAGAAATTGCATTAAATCTGTATAACAGTTTTGATAGTATGGCCATTTTGACTATATTATTTCTGCCTATCCAAGAGCATGAGAGATGTTTCCATCTTCTGAGGTCTTCTTTAATTTCTTTCTTTAGTGTTCTATAGTTTTCATTGTAGAGGTCTTTCACCTCTTTTTTTAGATTGATTACCAAGTATTTTACTTTTTTTGAGGCTATTGTGAATGGAGTGGTTTTCCTAATTTTTCTTGCTGTGGATTCATTGCTTATTTATAGAAATGCATTTGATTTATGGGTATTGATTTTATATCCTGCTACTTTGCTGAATTAATTTATTAGTTCTAGAAGTTTTCTAGTGGAATTTTTTGGATCTTCTAAATGTAGAGGCATGTCATCAGCAAATAATGATAGTTTGAATTCTTCTTTTCTATGCATATCCCTTTAATTTCTTTTGTCTATCTGATTGCTCTAGCTAGTCCTTTACTTTCTTAAATCTACCAGTGGTTTCTTTGTCTTTCCTATAAATAGGGAAACAGTATGATTTCTCATTATATTCTGGCTGATGTGACTGAAGCTTCTGGCATTTATTTTCTCTTTAGTATTAGAGAAGGGTAAATATTTTAGTCCCCAGTGTCTGTTTTGCTTTAGTTAGTTTATCTAAGGTTATTGCAAGTGGCAAGATTTTGGTTTTGGCCTTATTTCTTATTATGTAGAATGCTTCTCTGAACTCAAGAAAGAATTAAAGATGTGCCTGGCCAGACAAATCAGGTTTTACTTGGGTGTTCTGCTTTGGAAGCTAAGTTCAAGTCTGAGAAGCATGGTTGTTTGTTTTTGTTTTTGTCCTTGGCCAACCCTTGGTCCAGGCATGATAGCCTTTATCATTCTTTGAAGCTGGGACTGCTTGAGATCTGGAAGGAAGATGTATCTTTTCGAAGGCCTCTGTTTTGTACCATTCAGTGGCTTTGCTCTAGAGTGAGGTTCAGTGTATTTTTACCTCATTTCTCAGGAGACAGTAGTTTTTATGCCTCTAGATTATCTGGCTCCACCAAGCACACGAGGAGCCTCATTTTCTTTCAGTATCTCTGTTTCCTGTTTTCAGGTCTCCTGTTGCTTTGTGGTACCCCTGGGCTTGGTCTGGGCCTTGTGCAGTCCTCTTGCTGTGCTTACTGTAGATGTGGTGCACACATCAAGGTGGACGGCAGAGGGCAGCAGTGGCAAGTCGCTGGCATCTTCATCCTCCTGCTTCCACATTCGTCCTGTCAACACCTCCTTTAGAGCCTCCTCCACGCCAGCAAGGCTCTGCTCACTTTTTGCTTAATTTTATGTTCTGCAGTCTGCATTTTGGGCAGTATTTTTATTTTTTAAAATTAGGAAGGTGATCAATGAAATAGAAGTACTTAATGTAAAAGCTTTATAGAAAGTCCTGTGTAGGTAAAAGTTCATTAGGTAAAGTGAGTAAGTTCGTATGGTGTTTAATCCAGGTGGAATTCTAGAGGTGTGAGTTGAGACTAAAAACAATTATTTTTTATTTTTTAAATTTGAAGCTTTGGGATGTGAGATCAGCAAATGAGAGGAAAAGCATTAATGTGAAGCAGTTCTTCCTAAATTCAGAGGACCCTCAAGACGAGATAGAAGTGATAGTGAAATGTTGTTCCTGGTCTGCTGATGGTACTAGAATAATGGTGGCAGCAAAAAATAAAATCTTTGTAAGTATTCGTAATTTAAAAATCAAATTTAGCCTGATTTAAAGAAAATTAAAATTTCTATTAATTTTTTCATTTTACACTGTTTTCTGATATAAATAAAGTCTAGCTGTGTGATTTTGGGCAGGGTTTCCCAACCTTTCATTATTGTTTAGAACCATGCTCTGGGGGATTTGGATGGCTTGTGAGAAAAGGTGTGTATAGTCACACAGGTGTGGGAAATATCATGCACTGCTTTCTCCTCTGGGAGATAGACAGTGGGAACTAACATATTTAATACCCTGGGTAACCCTACATTACAGAAGCAATTTGTGATGTTGGGTCCACTGTTCCTCATGTATATTTAAAATGTGGAATAATTCTGCATCACTCTTCTCCTCCTCCTCCTCTTCCTTTTTTCCCCATTAATTTCAAAATGTTGATTTAGGTGATTTTTCAAAGAGCTATGTATCCCTAAAAAAATTATGATTTGGTGACTCTGATAGAAATACTCATCAACAACTGAACAAGGTTGTAAGACTTTTATAAAACAAATGAAAAGACAGTACTGTCCTCTTGTTTCCAATCTAATGAGTCTTTATATTTGTGCTGTTCAGAGTACTCACACATATAATTTCTTTTTATAGTAAATACCTAGGAGACAAAGCAGATTGCAATGACCCTATGATAATAATGAGGTAACTGAGGTTCAGAGCAGCCAAATAATTTGTCTAAGGTTGCACTGTGAATAGGATGGCCAAGTCTTCTGATTTACTGCTCACTGATAGTCTTCTAACAGTAATTTTAAAAGACTTGAATAATAAATATTATTATTTTTAAGAGCACAATTGAAATATAATATAGTTACCTAAAAATTCACAGAAGTATCTGTGCATATGATTGTTATTGATCTGGTAACTGTATTGCTGGGATCTTGGTTGGTATTTATTTTTATTCCTCTGGCAGGAAATTAAGAGGAAAACAGTCTCCTTTTGTCTTAAGTTTATTAAAGTCTTTAAGAACAGAAAGGAACTACTGCATTTGCAAGTTTCAAAGATTTCAAAATTATTCTTATTAATAAGAAGTATAATGTAAAATTTGTCTTTTTTTTATTTTGGTACTGGGGATTGAACCAAGAGTTACTTAACCACTGAGCCGTATCCCCAGCTCTATTTTAAAAAAATATTTTATTTAGTGACAGGGTCTTGCTAAGTTACTCACTGAGGCTGGCTTTGAATTTGCATTTTTCCTGCATCAGCCTCCTGATCCACTGGGATTACAGGCCTGTGCCACTGATCCTGGCAAATTTATCATTTTAAAATGTACAATTCAGTGGTATTAATTATATTCATAATGTTGTATAACTTTTACCACTACATATTTCCAAATCTTTTTCATCACCCCAAACAGAAACTCCATAATCATTAAGTAATAACTCCCTGTTTGCCATTAGCTAACCCCTGATAACCTCTATCATAATCTATGAATTTACTTATTCTGGATATTTCATGTAAGTGGAATCATACAATATTGGTTTATGTGTTTCCGGCTTATTTCATTAAGCATATGTTTTCAGGGTTCATCTGCATTATAGCATATATCATAACTGCATTCTTTTTTATAATTGAATAATATTTCATTATATATATGTATATGTGTGTTATACATTCATGAACATATATATATTATATGTATAATATATCTATATAGTCCTCACATTTTATTCATACATTCTTCTATGTATGGGCCCTGGGCTTTTCTCTACCTTTAGGCTCTTATAAATAATGCTGCAGTGAACATTGATGTACAAGTATCTGAGCCCCTGCTTCGATTGTTTTTTTTTTGGTACTTGGAATTGAACTCAGGGGTACTCAGCCACTGAGCCACATCCCCAGCCCTATTTTGTATTTTATTTAGAGACAGGGTCTCACTGAGTTCCTTAGCATCTCGCTCTTGCTGAGACTAGCTTTGAACTCTCTGATCCTCCTGTCTCAGCCTTTTGAGCCATTGGCATTACAGGTGTGCGCCACTGTGCCTGGCTCCATTGCTTTTGTGTGTATGTCTTGGACTGGAATTGCTGGGTTATATGGGAATTCTATATTTAGCTTTTTGAGGAACCACCAGGCTTTTCCACAGCAGCTGCATCATTTGACATTTCCACAGGCAACATACAAGGATTCCAAGTTCTCCATATCCTTGATAATACTTGTTATTTTCTTTTTTAAACTATAGCCTTCCCAGTAGGTGTGAAGTGGTATCTCATTGTAATTTCCATTTGCATTTTCCTGATGACCAGTGATGTTGAGCATAAGATCATTTTTTAAAAAGATTTTTTAAAGATCTAGTGAAAAAGGAAAATAACGTTACGTTGCATGAAATGCCTTCTTGTTTTAAAAACCTATAGATCTGTTTACCATGCTGAAAGAAAGCTACTGTACAATTACCCTTGTGAGTATTTTGCATGTAGATCTCAATTTCTTTTTAGTTGTCCCTTTCTCCTTTTTCTTTCCCACTCTTTGGTATTGTTAATTCAACTCTGCTGTTAGGTTTTTCTTATTTGGTTCCTTCATGATTGGGACAGTTTTTTATCCAGTTTGCAAAGTTCCTATATCACTGTGGGCCACTAAGTTTTAAGAACAACCTGCTCTGGGAAACATTTAAATATGATTTCCTGTGCTGTGGCTTTGGCCCCCAAAGCTGTGCTGCTTACCATCTTACCATCTGCACATGCTTCCAGGGTTATGCATTCACTAAATCTCTTTTTCTTTTTCTATGTTTTGAAATGCTCACTGTGTTGCTTAGGCTGGCCTTGAGCTCAAGATTTTTCTGCCTCAGCCTCCTGAGTAGCTGGAATTACAGGTGTACTCACTCTACCACTTCATTAAGCTTCTTTCTGGCTCCCACTGGGAACCTCTATTTTCTTCCTGAGGACTGTGTTTTGGTCTTGAATTCCTAGATTGTATCAACATACTGTATGTATGCATTAAGTATAAACCATCTTATCATTTGGCAAAAACTTTGAAGAGTATATTCAGCATTTAAAATTTTTCAAAAATTGAAATGAAGAAGGTTGAATTACTCAAAAATAATTTTTTGGTTAAAAAATGGGAAAATGATTAATTGTAATGTAGTAATTTGTTAGCTCTGGAGAGAAATAGAAATAATGGAGTTAATTTCATTTAGCAAGACTGTGTTCTATATTTTGATCATCTTCATTTATGAATTGCATTTTCTCTTTTGAACAGATGAGCATTGGGGAGAACTACTCTATGTTAATTTGACTAGTCCATTCATTTATTCACAAAGGTTTTTATTTCTCTTTAGGCCAGCTTGAGAGATCATCTGTGATGCATTTCCTATACAGAAAGTGTTTCAAGATGAGCAATGTTTTTAAAGTTGATGTATATTGATGTATTATCTTATTTATGATTGTTAGTAATTATGACAGTTATTATAGTAATTATGCTATAATATAAAATGTATATCTACAATGTATTAGTAATTATAGTAGTTTTTCAGGACTTAGATTTTATAGTTGAAACAGGAGGAAATTCTTTTAAAAATAAATTTAGATTTAGTTTGGTATAGCTTATCTTTTAAATATTTTGCTTTCATAGATACTTCTATTTATGTTGACAGCTTTTTGATATTTATACCAGTAGCCTGTTGGCAGAAATCCACACAGGCCATCATAGCACCATCCAGTACTGTGACTTCTCCCCTCATAACCATTTGGCAGTGGTGGCTTTGTCCCAATACTGTGTGGAGGTAAGTTGTTGAATTTATTCAGTGACATCTGGGTCTCTAAAGATCCAAGGATAACAGGGAATGGGTTGCCTAAACCATTAGCTGCTCACCATGCTTTCTTGAAAAACTATAGAGTATTTTCTTCGTAGCCTAATAACCTGTAGCTTTGGAATATTGAACTATATAGCCAGCTTTAGTATTTCAACAGTGATTGGAGACTTGATTTGACAGTATAACAGGGAATGACAGTACCGTTCATCAGGCATTTATTGAATTCCTAGCATTTTGCGGGGGTTGGGGAAACAATGAAATGACCACTGGTTTTCTAGGCTGAAATATATCATCTCTTGAACAGTATAAGGATAGACAAACTTTTTTCTTCTTAAAAGAAATGATGAGAGTTCAGATTCTTAGATCATTGAGTAGGATAAGATGGAAGTTATATTTAGAATTGATTAAGATAAGATTTTTATTTTTATTGCCAAGCACTAAAGAGTAAAATGACTCTTATAAATTACTATTTATACATATAATTTTGTACTTTCCTAATAAATTATACATTCAGGGTCTTTACCTAACTAGTCTTAGAAGAATTCTACCAAGTGAGTTACTCTATTTTTTTTTGAAGTTGTCAATGGACTTTTATTTTATTTTATTTATATTTATTTTATTTATTATATTTATAAGAATCACACCCAGTGCTTCACATATGCTAGGCAAGTGCTCTACCACTGAGCTATAATCCCAGTCTGAGTTGCTCTATTAATTTACTCAAAAGACAATGAATTGTATTTTCCCTTCAAAGATGGATTAGTTTTTCAGAGCCTTAATACTCCCTATTCCTTGGTTTGGTCTCACCATCAGGTAGTTTGAGGGGATAGGGCTTTATCTGGAAAGTAGAGAAATTCCCTCGGTTCACAGGTTCCTATTCAAGGGACACTTGACTACAGCAAATACTTCTTCAGTGTTGGGTACTTATTTCAGCAGTTCTTAGTGAGTTTGCCACCTTGCCTCTTACTTTTAAGGCTTTAGGGGAGAGTTGCTAAGCTATACCCTTCAGTGTGGAGGTAACAGATGAAGTAAGGCATGAGTTCTGTAAGTGCCTTCTGATTCTTTTTTTTTTTTTTTTTTTTTTTTTAGTATCATGGATTGATCCCAGGGGCAGTTAACCACTGAGCAACATCCCCAGCCCTTTTATTTTTTATTTTGAGATAGGGCCTCACGTAAGTTGCTGAAGCTGATCTTGAACTTGTGATTCTCCTTCTCAGCCTCCAAGTTGAGGCATGCACCACTGCACCTGGTTGCCTCCTAATTCTTTTTTTCTTTTTTCTTTTTGGTGGTACTGAGGATTGAACCCAGGCCAGGGCCTTGTGTATGCAAGGCAAGCACTCTACCAATTGAGCTATATATCCCCAGCCCCTGATTCTTCAGTACAGCAATACAAGTAACACTGAAAGACTTTCCTCTGAGAACCTGCTGTTGTAAGCCGAGGCAGTGAATTAAAGAACTCCAGTTCTCTTATAAATTTATTTCCAATAAATTTTCTTTTTTTAGGTACCAGGGATTGAACTCAGGGGATTCAACCACTGAGCCACATCCCCAGCCCTGTTTTGTAGTTTATTTAGAGACAGGGTCTCACTGAGTTGCTTAGCACCTCACTGTGCTGAGGCTGGCTTTGAACTTGGGATCCTCCTGCCTCAGTCCCTGCAGCCTATAGGATTACAGGTGTGCACACTGTGCCCGGCTCAATAAATTTTAATTTTTATATTTGATGTTACTTATCAAAGTTTGCTATATATTTGTTATTTTAGTCAAATGTATACATATATTAATTTTCATGGTAGCTCAATCAGAATAAATTTTTAGATAGTTAAAAAAGAGAGAGAGAGCGAGAGAGAGAGAGAGAGAGAGAGAGAGAGAGAGAGAGAGAGAGAGCGCTCCAGTTCTGTTCCAGACAGTAGGAAGAAGTGAGGTGGTGTGGGCAGGGTTCTTTTGGGCAGAGATCCTGAATTAGGAGAGTCAGATCTACTAGGGAATCTGAACTTTATCTATAGATTCTCAAGGTAGATGTGGTTGGAATTTTCCCCTCTCCAAGTTTCGTCAGGATTTTTAGAAGGAGTAAAGGAGCAATCCCTCTTTCAACCTTTCCTGACACTTCAAAGACCCTTACTCTCTTGCATACATATCTTCTTCTCTCTAGAAAACAATGTCTTCCTTCTTGAAATATAGGGACTTGGCTCAGGAGGCTCTGAGTGACAAAGAAATGAGTGGGAAGAGATGGAGAAAACAAGGAGGGAAGAGAGGAAGGAGTTTCTTTTTTTAAATGTTTTTATTAGTGCATTGTAGTTATACTTAATATTGGGGTTCATTTTGACATAATCATACATGCATGGAATATAATTTGTTCCACTTCAACCCCCAGTACTTCTTCTCTCTTTCTCTCTTCTCCCCCCTTCCCTTATTCCCTTTCCTCTATTCTACTGGTCTTCAATTTATTTATAGTTTTTAAAAATTACTGCTTTATAAGTATACATACAGGTGAAATTCACTGTGATATACTCATATGTACTTAGTATAATTTGGTCAATTCCATTCTCCCCCCCCAACACACTTTTTTTTGTTTTGTTTTGGTCTCTGTTCCCTTCCTCTCAGTCCCCTTCCTCTGCTTCTGTGATCTCTCTCTGTTTCCATGAGACTCCCCCACTCCCCCCCCCTTAATTTTTGCCTAGCTTTCACATATGAGAGAAAACATTTGACCCTTGACTTTCTGAGTCTGGCTTATGTCACTTAACATAATGTTCTCCATTTCCATCCATTTACCAGCAAATGCCATAATTTCATTCTTTATATCCATTCATCCATATCCATCAATGTGTTTACATATTTATGGCTGTGTAAAACTCCATTGTACATATACCACATTTTCTTTATCTGTTCCATCTGTTGTCAGGCTTCCAGGCTGGTTCCATAACATGGCTGTTGTGAATTGCATTGCTGTAAATATTGAAGTGGCTGTATAGCTATAGTGTGCTGATTTTAATTATTTTGTATAAATACTAAGGAAGGAGATACTGGGTCATCTGATGGTCCCATTCCTAGTTTTTGAGGAATCTCCATACTTCTTTTCAGAGTGATTATACTGATTTGCAATCCCACCAACAATGCATGAGTGTACCTTTTCCCTCACATCCTTGCCAGCATTTATTATTGTTTGTATTCTCAATGATTGCCATTCTAACAGGAGTGAGATGAAATCTCAATGTAGTTTTGATTTGTATTTCCCTGATTGTTAGGATTGTTTAACATTTTTTCATATATTTGTTGGTCATTTGTATTTCTTTTTGCAAAAAGTCTGTTTGGTTCTTTTTCCCATTTATTAATTGGGTTGTTATTATTATTGCTGTTAAGTTTTTTCAAGAGAGATTTTTCAGTTGTGGAATTGTTTTTGATTTCTGGCTTTAAGCTCCATATATCCCAGTTTAGACTCTAGAGATAAGGCAGAGGAAATTTCATATAATTAGTTTGTAACCATAGAACTAATTCACTGAATGAAAACCACTGGACGTGTGATGAAGTACTTATTTTGTCCATGCTAGATCTGAAATCATAAAGTATGTCTGTAATCAAAGTGTAATGAGAGGAACTCAGGCACATATGGTACTTCATTAGATTGGAATGTTTTTGAGTAATTTATAGCAGAACCTAGGACAAAATACAGCTGGGCTGGTTGCAGACAAAGACAATTTGTAATAAGCATGAATAACAACAGAAATGTGTACATGTTACAGTTAGTGCATTCATTTATGGTTTTGCAAGCATTTGGGATGAAGTGGAAAATAGTCTGTATCTGGAAGCTGCTTATATTCATGCTATTAATTTTTTAGATTGATTTTTTAAAAATAGACAAACATTTATATCATTCCAAAATCAAAGTTTTATAAGAGAACTATCACTATCATCCTTTTTTTTTTAAAGAGAGAGTGAGAGAGGAGAGAGAGAGAGAGAGAGAGAGAGAATTTTTAATTTTTATTTCTTAGTTCTCGGCGGACACAACATCTTTGTTGGTATGTGGTGCTGAGGATCGAACCCGGCCCGCACGCATGCCAGACGAGCGTGCTACCGCCTGAGCCACATTCCCAGCCCTATCATCCTTGATTCTTCTTCCCCATTATACTACCCCACCCCAAAGATAACAGTGTATAGAAGCAGATATCTGTGTGCATATATATCCATATCTGTATCTATCCATATGTTTCCATATTTATATTTCCAACTGTTTTTTATAAAAGATAGTATGTATACTCTTCTGCATTTTGCTTTTCTTCAGTTAACAATATATCCTACAGATTAGCTATTATCAGGGTGCTTTTCTCACTGCAGTTTGTATAGTATTCCATCATGTGATTAATGTAGTTTTATTTGGTTGGTTTTCCTATGGACAAACGGTTAGATTGTTTTCAGTTTTTGCTTTTAAAAATAGTCATACAATGAATAATCTTTAGCACAAGACATTTTGTATTATTATAGTTTGGGGCTTGTTTTCATGGAGGTGGTATTGCTGAGCCATACTTGCTATTTTAAGTCTTCTTTCTATATTCAAAATATTTATGAATGTTATTTCCTATATTCTGTGTTTATTCTGTAGTTATGGAATATAGACTCATGTGTAAAGGTAGCTGATTGCAGAGGACATTTAAGTTGGGTTCATGGTGTGATGTTTTCTCCTGATGGATCATCATTTTTGACATCTTCTGACGACCAAACAATCAGGGTGAGAAATTCTGAGATTTTCATTTTAAACATTTATGATGGTGAGTGAAACTTTCTACAACTAAGAAATTGATGGGTGATATTGGGAGAAGTAAAGTAGGAAGCTATGAGGTTCATATTCTTCCTGGAAAAGTGCTACTATGTGGACTTTAATGATCTCATTCATTCAGACACTCACTGAGTATTACCAAGGGTCAGGTGCTATGGGAAGTCCAATGATTAAACTGTATTTTGGTTAATTTGCATATATTACACTTGATTCCTGAGAATAATTTTTGACTCTTTCTTCTAACTTGAATTCCCATATTCTAATATATTCTGCCTTTCATTTTTCTCATCATTGTCTCAACTTTTCCATTCCTATTCCTAGGTCTCATTACCTATTGCCTGTCTTACATTAGTCTCTCCCACAGTCTTCTTTCAAGCTTTCTACATGCTGCTTTCAAGATATTTTCCGTATGTGCAATATAGTCTTGTCTTTTTTGAGTGGAGAGGATGCTAGGGATTGAACCCAGGTCCTTGCATTTGCTTAAAACAAATACCCCCCCACTATCTATGAAATACTTCTAACTTAATCTGCTGTTAAGATTCACAGTATGATCTCATTCTGTTCCAATCTGTCTTTCATTTTACTCCTTCAGGTAACCTACATTGGACTGCTCAGATTTTCCTAAAACCCTGTAGTTTCCTGCTTTCTGTACTTTTGCTTAAGTGATTTCTTATGCTTTGAATACCATATTTCCCTATATTTCTGCATTTGAAATCTTGACCATCCTGTAGGTTCCCTCTAGCCTTCCTTATTTGTGGGAATGTGTCTTATATTTCTTAATGCTATATAATTCTATGTCAGTTTCTAAGAACACTTATCAAATTCTGATTTTAAGAACAGACTTAAGGGGCTGGGGTTGTGACTCAGAGGTAGAGCACTAGCCTAGCATGCATGAGGCACTGGGTTCAATCCTTAGCACCACATAAAAATAAAATAAAGATATGGTGTCCACCTATAACTAGAAAATAATATTAAAAAATTAAAAAAAGATTAAAAGATTAAAAAAAAAAAAGATTTAATTTACTCCCCATCTCTAGTGCTCCTCTGCTCCATGATCTATTCACACATAGATGGGTCTTTGTGTCCATGGATCCTGTTTGGCACTATGGCAGCTAATACAGTGTTTTATACAGTTTGTATCTAAAACTTATTTAGTACTTACTGTATGCCAGATATTGTGAAAAGGACTATATGTGTATTAATTTCCTAACTCTCACAACAGTCCTTTTTGAAGCTGAGGAAATAGGCACAGGAAGGTTAGTTGGGCCCAGAAAGGTCACTGCTAGTTAATGTGTCAGTCTTGTTGAGCTGGAACTAGAATATAAGTCAACTTACTGCTTCCTCCATCAAGAAGGTCTTCTTTAAAAACAAAACAAAAAAGAAACACACTGTTGCAGTATGTTTAGTGATATAATTAATTTATATTCTGGTATACTCTGGTATATTCTTGTGGTCTGGTATCAAACAGTTTGAGAAGCAGCAGGTGGTGTTTATCTTTGAGTAGCATGGGTTAATAGACTGCTCAAAGTTATAACATTATGTAAAATTAGAATTCATACTGAGGCATTTTGGCTCCAGAGCCCACAACTTCTAATACTAAATGCTTCTCACTATAGCATGTGTTAGTAAATATTTATTGTTGGGTTATAATACAACATTTGGAAGTTTTCTTGTATTATAGACATTTTAATTATGAAGCGTGGCTTGTGTTTTGCTTTAAGAATAAAACTTTATATTATCTTAGAGGATGAACTTATAATATATAGTCATTTTAGTTTCTTTATATCTTAATTAGGTCTGGGAGACAAAGAAGGTATGTAAGAACTCTGCTATAGTGTTAAAGCAAGAAGTAGATGTTGTGTTTCAAGAAAATGACGTGATGGTCCTTGCAGTTGACAATATGAAACATCTGCAAGTGAGTATTTTTTTGAGAAAATAATTTGAAAAATTATTTTGGTTGAACTCAAAATTGTTTGTTTTGGACTTGGTGTCAGGCGTAATTGTATAGCTCTAACAGATGCCCCATAGGAATTAGTTGAATAAATATATGGGTCTTGAGCTATAGCTTAGATATGCCAGCATTTAGAATGAAATTAGATGCTACTTCACTGTACCACACTTCTTTTTGATTGATATATATGATCACATTCCTTGATTGGCACGGAGTCTTTAGGATACCATGAGGACACAATTGAACTTGTTTACAATAGTGATTTAGACATGTCTGATGGCATGTATAGAAGGATGAGCATACTAATGGAAGTATTTTTGCAGAGGAAAGATAATAAGTTCTTTGAAAGAAAAAAATTACCGTAAGTGGGGAAGGAGTCTGAGTCATCAGAACTGAGGAAGGAGCTGGACTTTGTGTACTGAAGCACACCTTTTCATTCATTCATTCATTCGTATATTTGTTCTGAATGCTTATTAGTTCTCATGAAGGAAAAGATTGTGATGTACCACTGAAAGAACTATATTGCTCAGGATCCCAAACAGTGTACTTTAGGGTGGGACACATAAAGAGGAAGGCATTTTTTAACTGATTGATAAAGGCTCCCAGAGGCCTGTTGGCAGAGGAATGGTATTTAGAAGCTCTGAATGGTGGTAACAGAGAGAGCAGATGCCTTAAAGAATATTAGCATTTAGCAGCAAGTTAGTGCCACTGGGTTGGTGTTAGGTTGGTGCCTTGAGTAAAGTTTCTTCCAAATAGAAGTCCAGTGCAGTGGGCACTGCATTGGTAGAGAATCTGGAAGCGGGGGTAGTATTGTGAGCAGTAACAGCAGGAAAAAGCAAATCTGACATGGAAGATCAACACAAGAGACTGCCTTCATGGTGGCCAGACCATGCAGAACAGCTGGGTAGTGGACCCAGGAGGAGTTAGCGTAACTGAGTGACAGTGAGTTGTGGCTGAGAAAGGTGCTAAGAGCAGCAGCCAGAGAAGAGCTGGGGGTAGGTAGTGTATTCCTTCTTCCCCTGCAGATTCTTTTTCAAGATGCAGATTGAGTTTATCTTTTTTCCAGATGGATTATATTAGTGCCTTATATATTTTTTTGTTTTCTTTTTCATTTTTTAGTGGTGCTGAGGATTGAACCTAGTTGACCCTGTAATCTGTGTAACTGAAACAAATTTGCTTGCTTGTTTCATTTTGAAAAATAATTCAAGAATTTTAGATTGTGACACTAAGGAAAAAAGGAATATCTGACAGTTGTAAGCTAGAGAAATAGTTTTCTAGATTGCATATCTTAGTTGAGTGATAAGGCAATTTTTTTGTGTGGGATTTCAAAAAGTAATTATTAGCATTTGATTATGAAATTGGGTAACCTTAGTTAAATATTACAGATTCAATCACATAAATTATGCTTATGGGTACTTCTCCAATATCCCTTTACTCTGTGCCCCTCTCCCTTAAAAATTCTTAAAATTGCCATGCTATGTGAGTGATTTGGAGGAAAAAGTCCTGTTTAAATTTAGATTTGTCTTTTTATGTATGTCTGTTTCAGTCCTGTTTCACCAACCCTTTTGAAAAATATCAGAAAAATATATTTTAACAAATGATAACCCTATTAAAAATGAACTTTGTGTAAAAATGGAAAACAAGGTATGGACCTAGCTGTGGGATTATGAATCAGACAGATGTGTCTCAGGTGGTGGGCATAGAAGCTGCTTTTAAACATTTTAAGGCTTTTATTTTATGATGAAATGAAATGAAAGCATGAAGTGCTAAATACAGCTGCTGAGACAGGGATGTAGCTTCATTGTTCCCCAGGGAGATCCAGTTAATTATTTTCTTCGTTTTATTTTATGTTTTTCAATTGAGGCCTGTGTTCTAAAGAAGAAAAACTGCTCCTACAACCTAATAACTGATGTGCCTTGTTTTTCAGCTCATTAATGGAAAAACAGGTCATGTTGATTACCTGACTGAAGCTAAAGTTAGCTGCTGTTGCTTGAGCCCACATCTTCAGTATGTGGCATTTGGAGATGAAGATGGTGCCATTGAGGTATTCAGTTCTAGTCTTCAGAACTGTGTGGGAGAGTAATTTATTTAAAATTAAGCACTTGCCTGGCATTCTACACGTGCATACTAGACAAGTCTCCCTGTGATCTGTTAGGCATTGTTCTGTGAGAGCCTTTTCCAGGTGGTTATAGATTTTCAGATTGCCTTTACCTCATGCTTTTTGTATTTTTTATTTTCTACCTAGTGTTTTTGTTGTTCTGCACACATTTCAAACACTGAGATTTAGCCAACTACACAAAAGCATTTTTTTCTCCTCCTCTTAGAAGCTCATAGGTGTGGAATGTAAATTGTTTCCATTTTGGTCCTGATAACTCCTTGGGAGTTTCAGTGCAGGGTGGGCTATGCTTGCCTGTTTTGCCACCCCTTGCTTTTTAGCATTTGGTGTTAGAAGTACATCTGCTCACCACCTGAAATCCTTGACTTATCTAATAAGACCAAATAACTAAAAGTGGAATCAGGTTATAGGCAGAAAAGGTTGTGTAATAAAAATAATTTGGGGCTTAGGTTATAGCTTAGTGGTAGAGCACTTGCCTTAAACATGTGAGGTACTGAGTTTGATCCTCAGCATCACATAAAAATAAATAAATAAAGATATATGTCCATCTTTAAAAAATCTTTTAAAAAATAATTTGGATAAAAATAGTATTTATTACAAGTGAAATTCATCACAGAAGAACACATTTTTGTATAAGAATTTTTTGAGAACATTGGCTCCTTCTCTCAGTTTGCCTCACCTAGGCTCATTGGCCACATTACTTTACTTTGAATTCATTTTCATAGGGAATTACACAAATATTTTCAAGTCTGTATTATTCCACAAAGAAGAGATTGAATGCTAATACACAAAATGAAGAAAGAAATGACATCAATTTTATTATGTACTTCCTGTGGTCATTGTAGCATGGATTTGGAGTCAAGACTTCATTTTTTTCTTCATTATGATGAAAAATTTATTGTTAAGATGGGTGCTATAAGAGATGATTGAACATTTAGAGGTAAATCTTAGTCTTCCCTTTCCTTTATGTGTGTGTGTGTGTAGATATATATGTATATAATCTTTATATATATATTTGTATATAATAATATACAAATTGTTGTATATTATTATTTATTCTGAAAAAGTTCTTGTTTCTTCTTTTTCTTTTACCTGGTTGTTTTTTTGTGGTGCTGGGGATTGAACCCAGACCCTTGAGCATGCTAGGCAAGTGCTCCACCACTGAACTACATCCCAACCATGTTCCTTTTGTTTTTAACCATCAAAGTATCTAGAAACAAGCCTACTACATCCTTAACCCCTTCAAAGTCCTCAAACATTATATATACACACCCATTATACACACACACACACACACACACACACACACACACACACACACAGAGAACTGTGTGAAATTACCAATATCTGACTTTCTAAATCCAATTTTAACGTATAAAATGGCAATTTCATATGGTTTAGCCTAAATAATAGCAACTAGCATTTATTAGACATTTACTGTGTCAGATGCTCTCATTGAATTCTTAAAACATCCCAGGTGTTAGATACTGTTATTCTTGTTTTACAAACGTCTGAACGCTTCATTTCTACAACTTTCCTAATTAGTAGAACCAGTGTTCAAAGGCAGGTCTCTGAGCCTTTGCGCTCCACTATTATGTTACCCTCCTTTCCCTGGAAGAATTATGAAATTGTCTATCCTGCTCACTTAGGAAGGCTCCCATTCACACAGTTTTGTTTCAGCTTTTCATCACTGGGACAAAAAAGTTCTGAGAGGAACTACTTAGCAGAGGAAAGATTTATTTTGATTCATGATTTCAGAATTTTCTGTCTATGCTCCACTGGCTTCGTTGCTTTTGGGCCTGTAGCAAGACAGAAACGTCATAGCAGAAGAGTGTGGCAAGGAAAGCTGTTTACCTCATGGCCGCCAGGAATCAGAGAGGAGGGGCTGGGGACAAGATGAAATCCCACGGGCATGCCCCTAGGGACCCACTCTCTTTTAACTAGGCTCCCTTTCTACAGTTTCCACCTCCTCCCAACAGTCCATTCGGATTATGAATTCATCAGTGGATTAATCCACTGATGAGGTTAGTGCCTCGTGATCCAGTCACTTCCCCAGAGTCCCACCTCTGAACATTGCTGCACTGGGGACCAAGTCTTTAACACGTGAGCTTTGGGAGGACATTCCAGATCCAAACCATTACTTCCCTTTGTTTTCCAAGGGGCCAATTTGTAGATATGGGTTAGATTTGAATTTAACTCCATTGTTGTTTTCCTTCGGCTTTCTTGACTACATTTTAATTTGGGCGAAGAAACCATACTTACTTTTGTGAGGGTGTGAGTTCATTTGAGAGCATTTTTGACAGTCATTATTATTATTATTTTTTTTTAGTTTTTATTACTAATTTATGAATCTCTGCATTTGGCACGTTAGTTCTTAGCCCTCTTAAGTCTTGTCATCCTTTATCTTTTCTCATCTCTGATGTTTTGTGAAGAGCTTGCCTTGTCTTATCCAGGATATTTACTGTTCTTCTTTCTCATCCATCATAAATGTCTTTTTTTTTTTTTTGGAGGCTAAGCCTGGACTGCCTCTTATTTGATGAATTGGGTAGTTGAGTATTCAGAGGGATCACTGGTTCCTCCTGCCATCTGGCCATTCCAGTGAATGTTTGATTTTACATGGTGTGTGCTAATGTGTATATATGCATTTATGTGTATATATGTGTCCCATTCACTTGTGTATTTTTAGCTAACTGAAAGAACTATGAGAGGGGAATTCTGTACCCTTCTTTCATCCTATTTTCTTTTAGTATCTTTGGGGGCGTAATGCCTAGGTATTGCTTAATTTCTTTGTATTAAGTTTCTGTGTTTTTCTACTTTGAAGATTTTAGAACTTCTAAACAATAGAGTCTTCCAGTCCAGGGCTGGTCACAAGAAAGCTGTACGGCACATCCAGTTTACAGCTGATGAGAAGACTCTCATTTCAAGTTCAGATGATTCTTCAATTCAGGTGAGAGAACTAATGAATTCCTAACACATATAATATTAGGGAGAAGAACAAAGGAGCATTTCTCTAGCAAAAGAACATTTTGAATGTGCCTGAATTCTAGTGAGCATTTTAAGCATATCACTTCTAGAGTGCATTCAAATTATGCACATGGACTTAGATGAAACCCATTTGTGTTTCTTACCTTTCTTTGTGTGTGGTGAGCAGTTTGATTTAGAACTCCCCACTGGAAGGTTGTTTGTTTTGAAAATCCAAGATTCATTTGAATTCTTTTGTCTGCCTTGGTATTTATATTTGTATCAGTAAATAAAATTTTTGCCACGTTTATGTAATTGCACTAATAAAATCTGATTAAAATAATTTCATTCTTATAAAGAATAACAGTTATTACAGGGATGAAATTCTATGAAAATTCTATGAAAAAAGGAGTGAAGATCGTGGACTTACTATATGTTCTTTTTAAATTTACTTTAATTTTCATTAAAGTTTCATGAACATACTTTAAAAACTCAGATAGTAGTAAGAGGCTTATTATGAAAAGTATAACTCTTACCATTTCTAATTCTTCAGAATTACCACTTTTAGCTTTTAGAGTTTACTTTGATATATTTACCTTCTTACCTCCATATGGCCTGCTGATAGTGCTATTGTGGATTTTTCCATCTGAGGAATTATCTACTGGCTTTCCTATTGTAAGGTGCAGATTTGGCTTTTCTTCTTCCTCCCCCGTGTTCTACCTCTAGCATATGTATGTATACACATGCACACACCCCATTGTCCTAATGCAGTATGACAAAATTTTCTTTAGGTCTTTAGTATTATTACTGTGACTAAGTAGATTTTGTGTATTAAAGATACTATGAATACATTTATAATTCATCCTTTCTCTAGTCATAGTTGGAAACTATTATTTTATCTTAAAACTTGAAGTTATTATTTCATTTTCCTCCAAATTCCAAAGTTGATGTTGAGAAGTCTGAAGCCATTCTGTTTCCTAATCTTTCTCTGTGGAAGATTTTAGGGTCTTATTCTTCAGAGAAATTTCATGTGTTTTGGTGTGTGTTTGATTTCATTCATTGTTTTCTATGTTTAATATCTTAATTGGAAATGTATTGTTTTTAATTTAGGAAGTTCACTTTGAATTATTTCTTTTATATCTATATATATCTACATGTACATTTTACATACATATATATTTAATTACATATATTTATATATATATTAGGTTTGAATCTGCCTTCTTTTTCTGTAACACCTCTCATTTAGATGTTGGCTCCTGGATCAGTCATCTAGTTTTCATCTTCTATATTTCAGCTTTCTACACTGTGCTCTATTTCCTGGAAGTGTCCTTAGTTTTACCTTTCAGCCTTTTTATCGAGTTTTAAATTTCTACCATTTTTCATTTTATTTCTGTTTTATTCTATTTTTTTCTTTTTATTTTAATGCCCAAGAGTCTATTCTTATTATTTAATCTTGGTAGGGTTCTTTTTTTTTTTTGTCTTTTTTGGAACTGGAGGTCAAACCCAGGGCTTTGTGAATGCAAGGCAGATGCTTTGCCACTGAGCTGCATCCCATCCCTTATTGTTTATTTTTTTGGAAGAGCTTTATGTTCTTTTTTTATAGATGGAATATCTTCTCTTTCCTCTATGAGGAGATACATACACACATATACAATGTATGTAGAAATTATATATTTTATATATAAATATGCAGTTTACATATAAATATGTAAATTGCCTGCACACGTGCATACACATGGGTGTGGGAGCGTGTGTGTGTGTATATATATATATATATATATATATATATATACTCACACACACACACACACACACACGCACACTCACACACTCACACTTTTTGCCCTCCAAGTTATCTTTTCTGTTTGGTTGCTTTGGCCTTTGTTTTAAAGGCTTCTTTAGCCATGCAGTGATCATTGGGTACCTGAGATAGCTGTGAAAAGGCTCATTTGAAACTTTCTGTGTTGACTGAGACCTTCTCTGAAAAGTAAACTGGATGGGAAACCTTTCTGTTAGTATTTCTGGGTCTTTTGTCTTTTTCTCCTCAGATTCCTAGAAAAGAATCTGGCAATTTTCTGCCTGGAGGATAAATCTGGCTGATGGGTTCTCAGAATTAGGTGGAAGAGAACTAGGAATAGATGCTAGAGGTCAGCATTTGTTCTGTATTTCACTTGCTCCCTCTGTTCTCCAAACTCCAGTTCTATCCTAGATGGTGCTGGTACCTTATCATTCAAGATTCTGGTGTGTTTTTATTGTCTGTAGCAGCATTATTTTGCAATTTATTCCCCTTTTCTCATAACTTTGGGATTCAGCAGCAGTTTTTTCTACTGTTTTAACAGGTCAGAAAAATAGAGAACTAATGAATTCCTAACACATATAATATTAGGGAGAAGAATAAAGGAACATTTCTCTTGCAAAAGAACATTTTGAATGTGCCTGAATTCTAGTGAGCATTTTAAGCATATCACTTCTCGAGTGCATTCAGATTATGCACATGGACTTAGATGAAACCCATTTGTGTTTCTTACCTTTCTAGCTTCTCACCTCTAATCTTTCATTTTTATAAATGTTAAAAATGCATTCTTATTTTCATGAGATCTCTTCGCACCTTGCATTCCCCTGTTGTTTTTGGACCTTCTCTTTCCTTTGTTGTATCATCTTTGTTCTGCTTAGTTTAGATTCTGTTTCTACTCCTTGCAGGGTTTTCCTGGTTAATTCGGAGAGTTCATGGCCCAGGCTGGTCTACCTCTCCAGACGGTACCTACTCCTCCTGTACTCAGTTTCTGCTGCTCTTTTCTGGTTGGTCCAGGAAGTGTCGCTAGGCTTCTTTGGGATTCTCTGCTTCTTCCTATATAGATGTTAATCCCATGCAGGTCTTACGGCTCTATTTGTCTCCATCCATTTGTGTCTTGGGGTTTGTGGGGATACCTTGTCACTTAACATCGTCTTACAGATATCATTAGTGCAGTTTGGGTTGTGTTATTCTAGTTACTCTGACTGCTTTTATTAGATGGCTTCAGGGAGACTAATGAACGATGCCTGAGCCTCTGCTGTTTTCCCAGGAGTCCTGGACTTCTGTTCGTGGCCCATCCTCATGCCCACCTTTGGATATCCTTAGAGCCTCCAATTTCTGAGCATTTCAGGAGTTTGTAGCATCTGGTTTTTGTTTTTCTCTGTTGTTTTTAGGGTTCTGTTTTCTTGGTTCTGTTGCATTAGTCACCATTTTCCTGCTTTCCAGCTCCAACATTGTGTCACTGTCTCCTTTCCCATCCTCCCCCACTTTTTTTTTTGTTTTTTAAACATTTAGAATTTCTTTTATTTGTATATATGTATATATGTGTGTGTATTTTAATTGTCAGTGGACCTTTATTTATTTATTTATACGTAGTGCTGAGGATTGAACCCAGTGCTTTGCACATGCTAAGCAAGCACTCTACCACTGAGCCACAACCCCAGTCCTCTCTTTTCCATTCTCTTGACCTTGCCATTTTAAAAGGGTTTTAGAAGGAAAGACATAAGTGCATATTCAGCTGAAGTCACTATATTCTTTTATTTAGTACATATATTTCTTTTTGTGGCAGTATTTAATTAACTATACTATTAAAAATGGTTTTAGAAAAAAAGGTGTTTTTTTTTTTTTTTGGTACCAGAGATTAAACCCAAGGGTGCTTGACAACTGAGCCACATCTGCAGCCCTTTTTTGTGGTTTATTTAGAGACAAGTTCTCACTGAGTTGCTTAGCGCCTCACTAAGTTGCTGAGGCTGGCTTTGAACTCCCGATCCTCCTGCCTCAGCCTCCTGAGCTGCTGGGATTATAGACGTGCACCGCCACGACTGGCTAGGAAAAAGGTCTTTTTATGTTGTGTCTTTGTGGATCCTGTAAAGGTGTAGTGAAATTTGGCTTCAGTCTGGAAACTTTTTTATTTTAGGATCCCATGATGGTCCTTTATTAGCTGTGAAACTCTGTAATAGTCACATTTTTTTCCTCTCCAGATGTCTTTGAAATAGTAAAACTAAAGTGCATCTGATGAAATTCTGTTGAGACATCATATGGTATATAGTCTTTCTATTAGAAGTTTTAATTCCTAAGGTTTTATGACCTTCTTAAAGATACCCTCAGCCAGAGGAAGAATACTTTCTAGAAATACTTTCAGAATGGGAGTTATTTTTAGAAATACAAGTTGTGTTTTATCTTCTTTTCCTGTTCTGCTCAGAATACTTTTCTACATTTACAGTGTCTTAATGAGTGTGCTTCCATGAAGCAGAGCTCTTGGTAGGTATTTCCAAACAATGACTACTTGAGTTTTGTTTTAGATTTTTTTATGATTTAGTAAATGACTAAAAAAATAGGTTTGTTTTGTTCATCGTTGTATCCCCAGTGCCTGGAATGTAGTAGAAATTCAGTAAATCTCTGTTGAGCTGAAGTTATTGCCAAAATTCAAAGAATCAAGTGACCTAGTTATAGCAGAGTTATGAAAATTGAGGTCCATTTTGGTAGTTTTGTGACTATTTACCTTGAGGTACGTAAATAAAGTCCAAGTAGTAGCCATGCTCACCTGAGTCATTGTATAATTATATATTGACTCTTGCAAGTACAGGAAAATTTTTTTAGCATTTTTAAAATTTAAGTTTTATTTATATAGTTAAAAAAATTCAGTAGTATGTATACTCACAAAAGTTATAGCCAAAGAGACATCCCCCAACTCAACTTCGATGCATTTGACTACTTTGGGGGGGAATGTAACTGTTACATCAAGGTTGATTCAAATGGCATGTTAAGTTTGAGCCCACAAAAAAAAAAAAAAAAAAATCACTGTCATCACTGCGTCATAGAAATCTTCTGTAATAAAGCCAGGAAGGCTATTCTTAATCTCCCTTCAGTGACTGTCACATTCTTTGTCACATCTGTGCGGGAAGGTGCCCTGGCTTCTTGATGTGGAGGGCAGCAGTAAGCACCTTAGTTGGGAATGGGCACTGAATGAGGCACAGCTGAGACTGGTAGTGTCTGTCAACAAGGGCGAGCTGTACAAGTGGTGAAGCCCCGGCAGCGTAGGAGGGAGCTAGGAAGTTCCTAGTACAAGTGTTCAGGTGTTTCATGCTTAGTTGCACAGGGTGTCCATCCTTTCTGGTATAGTCTGGGGAGCCAGGAAAGCCGTTCTCACCCACCACCAAGCATATCTCATTGCATTCTTAAAATACTGAAATTTCTAATTCATTCTCATTCGAATACTCTTACTTCTAGTTCCTTGTCTAAAGCCCCAGTTTGCATACAGGATACACTGCTCCTGATGATCCTGTTTTTGAGAACATGCACCCTGAGCTAGAAAATAGGGAAAGATCTGAGAGCCAGGGCTAGGTGAGGAGGGTGACTTCCAATAACAGTGAAAGAAGGAATAAAGAAAGAGGAGTAAGAGTTGTCATTTCTTTTTTTTTTTTCTTTTTGTGGTGCTGGGGATTGACCCAGGGCCTTGTGCATGCGAGGCAAGCACTCTACCAACTGAGCTATATCCCCAGCCTGAGATGTCGTTTCTTCTATAGTTTTGCTTAAGCCTGATAGGAAAAGGCTTAAGGACATTTTTACAGTTTGAACTTCACCAAAAACTAGACCCAGAGTGTTTGTAATAGGCCTACCTCAGTTGGTGGCTGATTTTTCTTAATCTTTTTATCCTTTTGGAGCCCGCCTGATGACCCACACCTTCAGTGGGCTCTTTGGGCTGACTCTTTGAATACCTTCCCAACCTTTTTCCTTTTTTCTCTACTGTTCCTTCTGCTTCTCCTGCGTTCTAGCCAGATTGAACTATGAACAGGTTCCTTTACTCTTTTTTTTTTTTTTTAGAGAGAGAGAGAGAGAATTTTAATATTTATTTTTTAGTTTTTGGCGGACACAACATATTTGTATGTGGTGCTGAGGATTGAACCCTGGCCGCACGCATGCCAGGCGAGCGCGCTACCGCTTGAGCCACATCCCCAGCCCCCCTATACTCTTTTAATATTTTTGTACACCTATACTTTAAATCTAGATTTATTCCTTTTGTTTGAAAAGCCCCTCAATTTGTGAATCATACTTCCAGACCATTCCTTTAGCCTACTTTGAATGCACTATCTCCACCAAATCTTCTGTAAGGAATAGCTTTTTGATTTCCACATAATTTTTATCTCTACGATTAATTTTTTTTTATCTCTATGATTAATATCATCTGTTTTAGTTAGCTTTTTGTCACTGTTACCAAAATACCTGACAAGAACAGCTTGGAGGAGGAAAGATTTATTTTGGCTCATGGTTTTGGAGGATTGAGGTGATTGTTGGCCAACTCCATTGCCCTGGCTTAAAGTGAGGCACAATATCATGATGGGAGGCCCTGCTGGAGGAACGCTGCTCAGTGCATGACAGCTGGGAAGCCAAGAGGGAGAGAGGGGAAGTGTCCACCTCCCAGTAGTCTACCAGGGAATTAATCCATCACACAGATTAATCCACTGATGAGATCAGGGCTCTCATGATCCAGTCATTGTCTAAGAAGCCCCACCTCTGAACCTTGCTGTACTTTCACCACAAGACTCTGGGAGGACATTCTATATCTAAACCATGACATCTTAAGTAGGATTTTTTTTTAAGTATGTCTCAGTTTTTATGCTAGACTCAGGTTTCTTTTTTTAAAAATTTATTTTTTAGTTTTAGGTGGACACAATATCTTTATTTTATTTTTATATGGTTCTGAGGATCGAACCCAGTGCCCCATGCATGCTAGGTGAGCACTCTACCACTGGGCCACAACTCTAGCCTCTCAGGTTTCTTTTTGATAGGTCCTTGCTTGATTCACATTTGTCTCGCATGTGGCTGCTAAATAAACCTTTGTTAAATGAGTTAATCTGAAGTCAAGAATTAACAAGGCTCTCAATACAGTTGCTTTGATTTAGTAAATAAGGGATGTTTTGTATATGGACATAGCCTAGAAATAATGTCTCTTCTGTTCACTCCTGTGTCTCAGATGTTCTTATGTGCTTATTTTGTGTCAGTTACTGACATTTTAATTCCTTGTCCTCTTGTATCTGAAGACCTCTTCCTGAAGCTCCATGTGAAAAATAATGCCCTATTGCTTCTTTCATTTTGAGGCTTGCATTAGAGGATGGCTAAGTCTCTGAAGCTTGGAGACCCTATAACCTGATTTTAAGCTGTTTGGGTCAGCTGACCTTGTTGGGCAATAGGTCTAGCTTCAGTGGAGCCAGAATCTACAGACGTGCCCAGCTTGTGGTTCAGAAATCTGTGAATATGTAATTGGGATAATTTTCTCTGGAAAATTTAATCAGATGGTGAGCTCACTGCCATATTGTGGCTTTTCTCCATCTTCTGGTATAATTAACTGTTCTCCAAGCAACTGAAGAAAACAAATTTTATTTAGGAGAAAAATATTTTATTTTGTCCCAAGTCAAGTTAATTAAACCCAGCTTTTCTCTTTGTAAAATGTGGACACCATATTCCTTGTTACTCCTCTGTTTGGAATGCTACAAGGATAAAGGACTTGAACTGAGAGTGCATACTCTCCCTGCCCATCCATGGGATATTATTGAGGGAGGTTATAACAAACTTATTTCTTTGATATTCAGATATGGAATTGGCAATCAGAGGAATATGTTCTTCTGCAAGGCCACCAGGAAGCAGTGAAAGACTTCAGGCTTCTAAAACATTCAGGATTGCTTTCTTGGTCATTTGATGGAACAGTGAAGGTAATTTGAATCTCAGGTTTTTTATTTTTTACAGTATTTTGCTATTGCAACAATTATATTTCAGTAGCCAAAAGCACATAGATGTTAAATGGTTCAGTTTCTAATGTTTATATTCCTGTTTTTTTGTTTTTCACTGTGGTCACTTATATCTGCTACATATATGTGAGCATTTTATACCAAAGGGTACTTACTTAAAGAGGTCAGAACAACTAGTGTGCTAAAACCCATATTTTAGATCCGTCTTATTGCTGATCATGCTCTTTAATACAAAATGTTCTTAAAAGTTTAACTTCTAAGTTTTTTGTTCTTAAGGTATGGAATATTATTACTGGAAAAATGGAAAAAGACTTTGTCTGTCACCAGGGTACAGTACTTTCTTGTGATATTTCTTCTGATGCTACCAAGTTTTCATCTACCTCTGCTGATAAGACTGCAAAGGTATGTCAATAAATTGAAGTGTCCATGCATAAAATTGTACTATTGATTATGTATTATGAGTCCAAATAATGTATAAAACAGGATAGTAACAATTTCTATCTAATGTCTGTTTCATATTTTAGGACAGCATAATGGCTAATCTTTAAAAAGGTTTGCATATGGTGGGCTATATTCTAAGAATTTCATTTCCTATAATAACACTTAATCTTCATACTATAGCTATCATTATTCCCATTTTACAGATGTAGAAACTGAAGTTGGAGAAGCTTATATGAGTTACCCTCAGTCACAAGGAACCAGTAAAGAGTGGAGCCAGTGGGCTGGGATTGTAGCTCAGTGGTAGACTGCTTGCCTAGCACATATGAGGTGCTGAGTTTGATCCTCAGCACCACATAAAAATAAATAAATAATGCACTAGGCCCTGGGTTCAATTCCTAGCACCATAACTAACTAACTAAAATAAAGGTGTTGTGTCCAACATATATATAATTTTTTTTTTTAATGGAGCCAGTACTCATACTCAGGTCTCTGTCACTCCACAGACTGTTCTTAACTGATTTGTGTTCTTCTAAGTCTAAATATAAAGAAGGTATGACTTTTGTTCTTGAGTTGAATTTAACTTGAGTAATTAAAGGGAAATTCAGAAAAATTAATAGGGCTGCAAGTTGAGTTTGGGCATCTCATTAAAGTATATGCACTGCCAAACGTTTCGAACTTCCATTGATGGAGTTTATGACTGAATAGCACTCAATAGGTTTGCAGATGCTTATTTTTGAGTTTGTTTATCATTTCTAAACAATTGTAATTGCATTCCAGATCTGGAGCTTTGAACTCCCTTCTCCTCTACACGAGTTGAAAGGCCACAATGGCTGTGTACGCTGCTCGGCCTTCTCTCTGGACAGTTCCCTGCTGGCAACTGGAGATGACAATGGAGAAATCAGGGTAGGCTGTTTGCTACATGAGAGCGCTGCTCCTCTTGGAGCTTGGGCCTGCACTCTTTACCTCATGGGGACCTTTGATAATGGGACAGGGAGGCACAGGCCCTGGGGTTCTGGTTGGATGAAGCATTCTTTGTATATTTTTGTGTGTTTGCCTTTACTGTAGGAAGAATTCATTTTGGAGTTAGACTGAGGCATTTCCTACATATGTGAGGAGGCAAATGCCCTAGTTATTTGCAGCTGGTTCTCTGCCATTAGTTTGAGAGTGATTCATCTTAATTTTTGGACTTGAACCAAAGGTTGCTTTTAGTGGCAAAATTTGAGGAAAGTAATTTTGTAAATCATTGTCTGGGTTATAAATGAATTGCAAATTCTGCTGGTTTTGATTGCTCAAAGAAAAGATCTCTTTAGTACTTTACCAATTAGTCAACATTTACAGTGTGGTTTGTTGCAGTCTTCTCTCTGCTTTGTTAACTGAATAGTGCAGAGGATCACATTTCTATAATTGGGTGGGCATTGAAGGGCTTCTTACTTAGGTAGAGTCTGCAGGATAGGCCAGATTTTACCATCCTGCAGTGCTTAAGGTACACATATAAACTGTGCCGATTTTACTTAGGAAAACGTCTTTTTTAAAAGGGAGACAATCTTCATGTCTATGGAAATACAGTGCAATTTGGAAAGTATTGCATGCTGTGAGATCAGAAATCACAGAAAAACAGTCAGAGCTGGTGGTGTTAAAAGAATTGGACATATATGGGGAATTATGGATATTGGAATGGCTGCTTAGTGATCAATATACGTGGAGGATTGAAACTCAAGGAATTGGCATATAATGCAGACCAAGAGGAGAACATGGAATTTTTATGAATAGAGGTAATCAGAAAGGATGTCCAGTAAAATTAAGATTCTCCTTAAGGACTAAGGAACAAACCTTTTCTATTCTATCCCATTCACATAATGCTCTGCCAGCTGAAGTGGCAGGCCACTGTGGGACATTCCTTGTGCTTTGAGTTCTCATCTTTGGATGAAAGGACTCCTTTACAAGTTGAGATAGTGTTCCTTTTTTCAGAACCCCCTAAAGGAAAACTCTTAAAATTTCAAATGTGATTTAAAAAATTTTCCCTGGTACATTTTCTGAAGAAAATTTTGTTTTTCTACTTGATTATTCATAATGTAGGAACACGATTCATTTTTGTATATATAAATAAAAATAGCTATATATATTTATATCTAGCTATATGTATTATATCTACCTGTATATATTATGTCTAGCTGTCTTACTGAATTCTGTATGTTCTTTTCCATTAGTTTCTCTTGAATTTTCTAGGGAGATATTTGCTGATTTTATTTTTTTGGTGGGGAGGTGGGGTACCAAAGATTAAACTCAGAGACATTCAGTCACTGAGCCACATTCCCAGCCCCATTTTGTATTTTATTTAGAGACAGGGTCTCACTGAGTTGCTGCCTCACTGTTGCTGAGGCTGGCTTTGAACTCACTATCCTCCTGCCTCAGCCTCCTGAGCTGCTGGGATTACAGGTGTGTGCCATGGCGCCTGACTTCAGGGAGACATTTTCAAGTGATGATTTAATTATTTCCTTTTGCCTCTATTTCTTTTATTATTCTCTTGTGCATTTCACTATTGTGTATTAAGTATCACAGGAAATAAATGGACATCATTTGTAAATGACTGGGTTGTTGTTAAGACTCTAGTAAAATAATCTTAGAATATAATATATGTATTTAGAACCTCACAGGGACTTACATACTTTAGATGTTTGTCAACATTTTTGATGTTAACTTTCGGACTTTTTTTTTCCTTCCCCACTTAGTTTATATGGCTTCTTTTGTATTTCTTGCATCTCCCTTCATTCATTTTTCTTTTCTTTTTTTACGTACTATGCTGGAGATTGAATCCGGGACCTGCACATGCTAAGCACATGCTCTACTACCAAGCTATACTCCTAGCCCTCTCTTAATTAGAGTTAGCATTTGAATCAGTCACTCTATCCTTTTGCTTTCTAAGAATGATCTCCATATATCCCAAAGATATGTAAATATATATTTTAAAACTAGAGAAGCTTCCTGGTAACCCGTTAATGGACTGTGTGTTGTGTTTACATAGATATGGAATGTCTCAAATGGCGAGCTTCTTCACTTGTGTGCTCCAGTTTCAGTAGAAGAAGGAGCTGCTACCCATGGAGGCTGGGTGACGGACCTTTGTTTTTCTCCAGATAGCAAAATGCTTGTCTCTGCTGGAGGATATCTTAAGGTAAGAGTTCCTGAAGGACTGTGAAAGAGAAGAACCGCCTCTGCCTTTCTTTCCAAGCTGGTTCCACTTCCTGTTTCTCAGTTGGCTCCCTATAGTGCAGCAGAGTGAAAGGGCAGTTGCCCTCACTGTTTTGCAGTGATGAGACTGAGGTCAGCAAGGGTGCCTTCCTCAGGTCTCTGGTAGGCTTTGGTGACAGCTCTCTTCTCAGCTCACCAAAATCTAGATGGTCAGAATGACTAGCAAGTGGGGTGTTCAACTAATTTTACCTTCCATGTCATTCATTATTAAATATTTTGGTTGAAATTCTTTTAAAAATATTTGTGGAATTTATTTTCTTCAATAACAATCACAACAACAATAATAAAAGCAGCATATTGCTCTATAATTTATAAAATGTGTTACTTCCATCATCTCACTAGCTAGTTTTCTGAAGCCTACATTTTATACCATCCTTGGTTATAGAAGAGCATACTGAATTTTGTGGACATTGTGACTTTCCTGAAATTATATAATTAGTGAGTAGAAGGGCCAGGACTCACACACAGGTCTTCCTCCTCAGATTTCTGTAGTGATTTGGCTTCTGAAAACTTACTGGTGGCTCTAGGGACCATGGTTTGGGGTGCTTCAAGGTCATTTTTTTGGTGCTTGCATCTGTTAATCCCTCCATTCAGTAAGAGTGTGCTCCATGCCTACTGTGTACTCAGGTACTACTGTGTGGCGCATTTGTTAAGTTTTGTTCCTGCCTAACAACAGCTAATAGTCTAGGGAGGCAGGTGATAAATAAAGCCTCTAAAGTGCAGGAGGGGTCTGGCACATGATTACATGAGGAAAGTGGATAGGCTGCTGGTGGGAGTTACCAGAGGTTCACATGGAGAGGGAAGCTTGAGGGTCTTTAGAATAGCGGTTTACTTCTTTTTTAAAAAAATATATTTTTAGTTGTAGTTGGACCCAATATCTTTCATTATTTACTTATTTTTTTATGCGGTGCTGAGAATCGAACCCAGTACCTCACTCATGCTAGGCACGTGCTCTATCTCTGAGCCACATCCCCAGCCCAGCCTTTACTTCTTAAAACGGGTAGAAGGTGATACTATATATTATACTGACCACTTGAAAATTCTATAAGCTTTTCATTTAGAATAGATCCCATATAAGATCTTATGATACTGCTATTTCTACTGAAAACAGCCAACTGAAGCTGATTCTGATCATCTAGATGTTCCGAAATACTTGAATGAAGTTTTGGTTATATGGGACCCATATCATTGCAATTATCTACAACATAAAACTCTAGCTTATAAAATAAGATAAATTAGGTAACAGTTTTTAGCTCTATGAAAAGATATGAATTATGATTCCTTTACAAGGTTGCATTGGAAATACAATTCTGTCAGTGTTAATGCTGCCTTAACCTACGTCTTTTTGGGCACAACTTCATTCAGTTATCAGGGGATCCCAAGTCATGATCATCACTTGTTTTCCTTTAAGGTAAAGGTAAACTGTAGCTCTTGGTTGCCTCTGAGGATAATGCTTAGAGGAGGGTCATTGCTGCCTTGTGTCAGAAGCTGAGAGTCTTGAACTGTGTTAGTTCCTGAAAACTGCTCAGTCTTCTGACACCAAGCTTCTAGATACCATGCCATTTGATTTCCTGAGCTCCATAAATGCTGTCACATAGTTGTGAGTCAGGCTTTTAAGGTGTTACAAAGATCAATGACCAGATTTGTGGAGCTCTTGGAGAATTTTGAAATAAAGCAGCAGAACAGGTCTGTGTACTCTAGGGGTTATGTCTTAAGGCTAAAAGAAACTGTAGCATGTATATTTAGTCTGTATATTTAAGTGATGATCAGGCTGCTTTTGCCTTCTGGTTTGATTACTGGCATGGTTAAACTAATTATGTTATAGCCCAGCCTGCATCTACCCAGCATGTTAATGAGACTATCCAAAAGCACAGAACAAATTAAAAGTAAAAAGGAACAGCTGCTGTAGTGGCCAAGAAATTAGGCCTTTTGAGTCTGCTCACTTTAAAAAGAATCCAAGCTATTTAAATTGAGTGCCAGTGAAATAAAGTAGGTATACAGTTGCTAAAAAGATTTTAACTTTCAAAGTTACTTCTATTTGTACGTGAAAAAATAAGATAGCTTTTACCTGAATTAATGCCACAGAGTACATAATGTTATAATGCAAGAAATTCACATTAATTCATACTCCTGAGGAAAAAAGCTGATCTGAAATGTGGAACACATGGTGGTAAGTGAAAGTGTACCATCATGTAGAGGCAGCAGTGTCATGGTTGGGAGAATGGGCCTGGGGACAGATTGAGTTCAAAGCCGGACTGTGCCACTCATTAGCTTTGTGACTTTGCACAACATTGTTCCATCTCCTGGTGCCTCAGTTTTTTGTACAGTGGGTGTGACAATCATACCTCATTACAGAGATTTCTCACATACGCTTGTCCCCACACATATGCCGCTTCCCCCACTATCAACATTCCCTACCAGAGATGGTGCATCCTTTGCAATTGATAGACCTGTGTTGACACACATTGTCACCCAAATTCAGTAGTTTATATTAGGTTCATTCTTGGTGCTGTACCTTTTATGGGCTTGAACAAATCTCTAATGACATGTATCTACCATTACAGCATCAAACAGAGTAGGTTTACTGCCCTGAAAATCCTGCGTATGTGCTGCTATTATAGCATCTATTTTTAAAAGTCTATATTAAACTGTCTCCAAGGACAGTGGTCTGGGTTAATAGTGGGAAAGGAAGAAGGGTCACTGGATTCAGAAGCCAGATCTTTCCACCTCTGCCACCTGCCAGGTTCTGGGGTTCAGGTTCTTCTTTCAGAAACCCACTTCCTTATTTGTAAAATGGTGGATTAGGTGATAAGCTGTAAGAGCCTCAGACACTGAAATGTAGTGAGTCTCCTCTCAGGGGACAGAATGTCCTTTGAACTCTTGATTACTTTGCCAGTTCTGGAAGATTCCAAGTTAGTGCATTCTGCTTAAGTAAGGTTCAACAAGTCTGGTATGTTTTTATCAGTTCCTGTGACTAAAGAGAACATGCATAATCGACTCCATAATGTGCTAAGGCAGAATGCTAGCCTTGGTTATGGACACAAAGGTGGATGACACTGTGTTCCTAATACTCAAGACTTTTTTGTAGTACTAGGAATTGAGCCTAGGGGTACTCTACTACTGAGCTACATTCCCAGACCTTGTTATTTTTTATTTTGAGCCAGGGTCTCACTAATTTGCTGAAATTAGCCTTGAATCCTCCTGTCTCAGCCTCTCAAATAGCATGACACATCTGAGGCCTTTGAAAAATATGTTCATTTGCATTGTTTCTTGCCCTTGTTTTAGCTGTGAGATACATGGGTAAGCTTTATGGTCTCTATTTGGTAAATGGATATAAATATTGTTATAATCTATCTTAGTGAATTCAAGGATTGGAAGGGAAAGGAAGCACCTGCTTCATTTGAGATGTTAGTATTTATTAAATAAATATATAAACCATTACATAAAGAAATTGGGTCATATGTTCTTGAATCACTCCTGGTGGAAAGGAAGATTCTCTAGAGAACATTCTGGGTGTCTGTCTGAATTCTAGTCTGTGACTACAGAGGGGCACTGGAGTGAAAAGAGGGGCAGTCATCTACCAAGACATGCAATCAGGAGAGCCCAGTCCTCCATGAGGAACTGTCGCCTGGTGCCTGCAGCTCTCAAGCAGCTGCTTGTTTCTCTAGAAGTGCTGAAGTGGGGATGGAGTGGGGACGGAGTGGGGACAGAGTGGGGACGGAGTGGGGATGGAGTGGGGATGGGTAGGGCCTACCTGTGTAGGTCTGAGGCCATCACCAGGGTTGATCAGCAAAGGCCAACCAGGTTGATACTGTCTTCAGCCGTAAATCTTGGGCCTCTTTCCTGCTGTTTGCTTGAGGTTAGGAGAGGGAAGGTGATAGGTCTGCTGGCACTACAACCTGTCAGGTAGTGTAATTACCCATCTAATGAGAATTTTATTTTTTTCTGAACAGTGGTGGAATGTCGAGACCGGAGAATCCTTACAGACTTTCTACACAAATGGAACTAATCTTAAGAAAATACATGTGTCCTCTGACTTCAAAACATATGTGACTGTTGACAATCTTGGTATTTTATATATTTTACAGATTTTAGAGTAAAATGGTTTAGAATTAATGTAAGTTAAGTTAAAGTATTTTAAATTTTGCATTGGAAAAAAATGATAAACTCTGTATTATCAACTTTTTGTAAAGCTGTGAATTATTTTGCAGGTTTGCATTCATTACAAGTGTTTGTGGTTGGATGAATAATATTAGTGTAGCTTTTTCCCATGTGACACACCTTTAATCTTATTTTTTATCATCATCATTAATAATTTGTCCTTACGATGCAAATGAAAATGTAAATATGTACCTTGTTGCACTGTTAGTAAAATTTGTTCGTGATGCATTCAAATTAGTTGTCATAATTAATGAGAATAATTTGAAGGGTCTATATTTATTTAATATTGTCATTATGCAGGCTGTGCCTCAGGGTGACAGTGGACTGTTTTCTGAACCACACTTACCCCCAGGGGGTATAGTTCTCCCAAATACTATCTTGGAGGTTATTTATACTCCTTAAATTTGCTTTAAAAATACTGTGCCTGTGTGCAAACTCTGAAACACTTCCTTTAATTAACTCAATAAGTGAGTGTTGGATTTTATCACTTCTTTCTGTGAAGCAAAAATTATGTGTTAGAGAGTAGAATTCATGGGTTTCCCTTTTTCTCCCTGTAGCTAAAGGTAGCTCGCTGTAGCTGGACTCTAGTGGTCAGTATTGAGTTGGGTGCTATCCTACTTTCTGTGGCTTTTTTACTTCTTAAGTGACTGAACTTGGCCTTTCTTGATCTTCACTTTATTCATTTTAAAGCTGTTGTTCCCTAGTTAAATGTTAGTAAATCAGATTAATTGAAGATGGAGCAATTTTAATCACAAGTTTTAATAATACTTTTCTAAGAAATGTGAAATAGTAAAGAATAATTTTTTTCTAATTGCATTTTACTTTTAGGTAAATGGCGTTGTTAGAGCTGTTTTCTTTGTGAATTTCAAGAGACTTCTTTCTGATTTTCTGTGCAGTTCTAGAAGGGTCACCGGTCACTTTAGAAGATTTCAGCTTTTACCTTTCAGCCAACCTGGTCTCCTCCTATCCCTCCTTCCCTCCCTGCCTTCCTTTACTTTCCATCCTCCCTTGAACCATCCCTTTCTCTCTCCCCTTCTCTGTGAAGTTAATCAGGAAATGCAGGGATTTTTTTTTTTTTTTTTTTGAGATGGGGCTTGCTATGTTACCTGGGCTGACTTTGAACTCCTTGGCTCAAGTAATAATCCTCCTGCCTCAGCAGAGTAGCTGAGAAAAATAGCTTTGGACATGGAGAAAGTTCACCAGCATCTATAGCTGGCTATTTTTTTTAACCTCTTGATTAGGAACTTTAACTAAAGTTTAAATCTAAATGTTATTATGGGCATTGGACGAAAATTTATAACAGATGTGGTTTTCATATAAAAGTAATCAAAATTCAAAGATTTTTTTCTGTTACAGAAATAATAAGTCAAATGAATATTAGTATATAATAGTAATATTAATATAAGCAACAAACCCATTTCTGCTGGTGGTGCATATTAATAGATGATGTGTGGATAGAAGGATGTGTTTTAGATTAGATATTCATATATAGCATTTGCGGAAACTGTAAATACAATACAGTGAATAAAATCTTTTACATTATTAAGGAAGTTTTTTGTGTTTTGATAGGTTGAGGAACTAGTTTATAGGCTTACTGTGATTTAAGCATATGTGATAAGTGAAAAGTCTTAATTTTATAAGAAATTTTGGTAAATAATGTTTTGCTTAGAATGTCCAAGTTTTAATTTGATTTTCATGTTTAAGGGCTCATCTCATCTATAGCTCAGAATATGAAGAATTGACTTTTGGAGTTAAAAGCCACTTGACTGCTAATGTATAACAGCAAACATCAACTTTTTATGTCTTGACTGAGCTTTGTCTTAATATTTAAAAGAAACTAAAAAGGAAAATGGGAAGATGAGATAATGTGAGGAAAGGAAACACCTGCGACGTACATTGCAGCTCGTGGAGTTGGTCATGAGGGGGGTTTGGTTGTAGTTGCAGATGAACATTTTTAAACATTTTCCCTGATGTGTTTTTTGTATGTGAAAATACATTGGACTTTGTATATGTAAAGATTTTTTTATATTGAATGTTTTTGTATTGAATGTGTGTGTTTTGAAACCTGTTACTTACATGATTTTCTTTTTTTTTTTTTGCCTTGGAACACATTTTAAAACATGAATTTTTAAAAAAAATTATAAAAATAAAATTCCTAGAATTTTTTGGAAAAACATTTTGGCCTATTCCAGACTCCTTGCTTATCTTTATCTGTTGATTAGAAGACTAATGTGAACGATAAAGCTAATCCATCAACCTTTCCATCTAAGCCTTACTAACTATATGTAAATTCAGTTATATCAAATTTTCTGCATGTCTCTTCAGTGTGTGTCTATGATGGTTGCTGCTCAGTGAGCTGGCATGAAGAAGAACCTGTAAAAAAGAGAATTCATTTATTCGCCCACTCATATTTTTCACTTATTCATTGAACAATATTCATTGAGATCTACCGTGTGCCTGGCATTGGTGTAGGTATTAGGGATACATGCGTTAGGAAAACAAAATAATGCTGCAGTTGGGAACTTATATATAATATTACTATTATATACTAATCTATACTCAATTACATGGTATAAATTCAGGGGGAGGGTTATGGTTTTCGATGGAGTTGCAGTGGTGACACTGGAGTACAGACCTGAAAGAGGAGAGGAATTGTGAGCCATGCATGCATCTGGAGACAGTGCCACAGAGAGGATGCAGCACGCACAGGCTTTAAAGTGTTCCAGGAACAGCAAGGAGGCTGGTGTGGCTGGAGAAGAGTGGGAGGAATACAACAGGAGTGGCAGGCAGAGAGGAATCAGGGCAGCACTGAGCATTACCTCCCCGGCCCTGTAAGGACTTTTGCTTTGACTCTGAGATGGGAGCCAGTGTAGGAGTTTGAGCAATGGAGTGATCAGACTTAAACTTGATCCTCGTCACTTGGGACTCAGTTGAGAGGGGGACAGGGAGACCAATGAGAAACTTTTGTAATCACGTGGACAGAATGAAGTTGGGTCAGATGAGGATGGCAGTGGAGGACGTAACAAGTGAATCCTGGATATATTTTGGGGGTAAGAGTCAATAGGAATTGCTGATGGCTTGGATAAAGTTTGAGGGAGAGGAATTGCCAGTTTGGAGTCGTATCCCAAAGGCCCGTGTATTAAATGCTAGGTTACCAGCTGGTAGTGCTGTGGGAAGTGGTGGAACCTTTAGTAGGTGGGGCTCATTCAGGTCACTTGTGGCCTGCCCTTGATTGGAACATGGGGACGCCAACCCCTTCTTGTCTCTTTTACTGCCTCCTCTGCCACGTGTTCCTACCATGATGTGCAGTGCTGCCCCAGGGCCAAGCAACCACAGGCTGCAGCCATGAGCCCAAGTAAGCCTTTCCTCCTCTTGAGTCCATTTACCTCAGGTGTTTTGTTTTTGTTTTTGTTTTGTTTTGTTTTAATTAACAGCGATGGAAAGCTAACAGAAAGTTGATATCATGTGCGATTGTGGTTGTGACTGTGTTGGTTCAGGACTGTTTGGAACTGGTTCGCAGGAGTTTAAACTGGAAAAGTTTGGAGGAACCGGCTGGAGGAAACCCAGGGTGCTGTAAGAAGAGCTTAGTGGACGTTTCTGGTGAGGACTCAGAATGCTGATAACAACGCAGACAGTAGAGGTCATTGATGATGCTCATGAGGTTTCAGATGGACAGGAGCTGGTTGGGAACTGGATTTAGAGACCACCCACATAATACCGGGGCAAAGAATTTGGCTTCCTTTTGCCCATACAAAGACTGTAGGAGGTTGAGCTTAAAGGTGCCTGACAAGTTTATCCCGTGGAGGAAATTTCAGCATTCAGACAGTGGTAGGGGTATTGCTGGCTGCTTTTCATCAGATTTACACAGAGAATGGGAGCAAGAAGTTGAACAGAAAAATGTGGAAAGCTTGTAGTTTGGCCAGAAAAGAACCAAGCATAAAGTTTTGGCCAAGGAGAAAGAGTACAGTTGCTAGAGGGATCAGCACAATATAAAGCAGCCAAGTGATTTGCACTGGGACCCTAGGAAAGGTACCTTAGGGCATGTCAGGCATCAGCAAGGCTCCGCCCACCACAGGCTCAAAGGTGTGAAAGTATAAACTTTCCAAGATTTTCCTTTAGAAGAGAGCCCTGGGTGTTCTTCTCCATTGGACTGACTAGTGAATACTCTGCCTGGAATTTACTTTCCTTTGCTCAGCTGTCTGCTGCCATGATTCAAATGGTCCCTGATATAGCTCACACAGGTGACAGACCTTGGCATCATCCATGTGCTGCTGCCTTCGTGGGCATGCAGAATGTAAGAGTTAGAGGACGTGGGGTCTTCCCCTGAGATGTCCCTGGAAAGCCTGAGAGGCCAGGCAGCTTGTGGCAGGCTCTGAGTCCCTCAGGCAGCCCTGACAGGGCCATGCACGAAGCTGTAAGAGTGAATCTGAATTTGCATTGGAGACCTCAGGTAGATAGAGATGGCAGGAAGGTGGGCCATCTGCTAAGGGATGCTGTGGGCAGTGAGCAGAGCCAGCCCAAGACACCTCAAGCTGCCAAGTGTCCTGATGCCAGGTATGGAGTCTTAGGATTAACGTCTGCCCTCCTGGGATTCAGTCTTGCTTTGGTCTGACCCTGCCTTTCAATGCCCTAGTCCTGCCTTTTGGGAATGGGAGTGTTCATCCTGTGCCTTTCTGTCTTAGAAGCACATAACTTTTTTTTTTTTTTTTTTTTTAATCTTTGCAGGAACTCACATCTGAATTTGCCTTGAGTGTTGGAGACTCTGGGTTTGTCCTTTGGAGAATGCTGGAAGAGTTAGACTTTGGGGACTTTTAGAGATGGATTAAATGAAGGTTGCTTTATGAGATGGACATGAGCCTTTGGGGTCGAGGGGAAGAATGCTGTGGTTTTAAATTTTTCCTCAAAGGCTCATGTGTTAAAAGGCTTGATCACCAGTCTGTGGTACCTTTGAGGGGTGATGGTACCTTTAGCAGGTGGGGCCCAGTGGAGGGAGGTAAGATCCCTGGAGGTGTACCCCTGAAATGGATGTTGGGACCTCAGGCCCTTCCTGTCTCTTACTTCCTGGCCACCATGAGTGAGTTGAACAGGCCCCTTCCACCATATGTTCCTGTCACAGTGTATTGTGCTACCACAGACCCAAAGTGACATGGCCAAATCTGAAACCTCTGAAACCATAAATCGAAAGAAACCATTTCTTCCTTTAAGTTGATTTGCTTCAGGTTATTTACTTATTTTCATACCAGAGATTGAATCCAGGGATGCTTAACCCCTGATCCACATCCCCAGTCCTTTTCATTTTTCATTTTGAGACAGGGTCTCGATAAGTTGCTTAGGGCCTTACTAAGTTGCTAAGGCTGGCCTCAACCTTGCAATCCTCCTGTTTCAGCCTCCTTGAGTCACTGGGATTGCAGGTGTTTATCACCACGCCTAGCCCTCAGGTATTTTTTTATTTTATTATTAGTGATGAACATTGAAAACATACCAAAAAATGATGCCAAGGTTTTGGCCTGTTCATCTGGAAGAATGACAGAGTTGCCATCAACTCAGGTAAAGACTATGAAGGGAGCAGGTTTTGGACGTAAGTTTGTGATTCCAGTTAAACATCCAAGTGAGGGTGTTGAGCAGGTGATTGGATCAGAGGGTCTGGACTTCATGGGAGAATTCCAAGCTAGAGATAGAAATATGAGATAGAAATAGTGAGTTGATGGCACTTAAATAGCCCCAGGGCCAGACGACATCAGCTGGGATGTGAGTGTAGGGAGAAGAGGCAGGTGGCTCAACACTGCGTCCAGGGCAGTCTGGAGGTCAGTGAGATGCAGGGCCAGCACAAGAGACAGAAAGGTCCTGCAAAGAGCCAGAGTGGCAGTTTGGTGTGGGAGGTGTAGCGAATGCTGGGCAGGGCCTTGCAGATTCCTTTATCTGTTTGTCCAGCCATCTGTCTGTCCTGTACGTCACAAACATCTGCTGAAGTAGCACCTGGCACTATTTTTTAAGTAGCGAACAAAGCAAATGGCAGCAGTTGGGGAGAATGTGGCCAAGGCGTAGTAAGAAAATAAGAAGCCACCAGCCTTTGTCTTGTCTATAGCATGAGCATCCCTTCCTCCCAGGGCTGTTGTGAGAATCTGATAAGATAATGCTCACAGAGTACTTAAGTCACTGCTTGAACCTAGAAAGCACTCGGGGCACATCCAGTGATGTCATCTGGACCACATCGTGGACAGTTCCGGGCCTGCCGCCTTGCCGCCGTTCCTGCCCTTCTGCATGATGGTTCCCGAGTGCTGCTCTCCATCTTGTTGAGCTTTGCTGCTAAAACCCTCTTGCTTCCGTCTGCAGAGCTCTCTCTTCTGTTCTGCATCTCCCACCCCCAATTTTACATTTTCCTTCCCAACTTTCATACACCCTTGGAGGTGACCCTCGAGGGCCGGGAATCTGGCCTCCCTCCGCAGCCTCCTTTCCTCCATCACGGCTTCTGTTGCTTTGCAGCTGTTTGCTCACCTCTTGGGGGCCGCCCTTTACATCACGTCCTCCTCGGAAACCAGCTCTGTCTTTTATACCAGATTCTAGCAGCCCCACCGGCCATGAAAGCCTCAGCAAGCATCTGTGGAAGGCTGAAGCTCCCGTGTGCGTGTGCGTGGGACCTCTCACGAGGGCGTCGAGTCAAGCCACAGCCTATCACCTGCCTTTTCTTTATCTTCCCATTTCAATTTGGTATTTTTACTGTGAAACATCATTAGGGGAAAGTAAAACTTCACTTGGATAAAGGAGGTTTGCTACCAAATGATAGGAAATGAATAAACATATCCCCGGGGCGCTCAGCTACCCGCAGGTGAGGACACGTGCTGCTCAACAGACGTTTTACAGTATGATTTACTTACCGACCTTTAGAAAAGGAGAAAATGATTTTCTAATAATTCTAATCTCTGAAGATTGTCACTGCAATAGATTCCTTGCTCAGAGCTCCCCGCCTTAGGACTGTGGATATGCTGTAGGGTTATTAAGACGCCTGAATCGGGACAGAGCTGCTTTGGGGCCATGAGCTTCACCGTAGAAGCGCGGTTGTGTATTGTCACCTGGAAGGGGCTGGAGAACTGCCGCAGTGT